ACCGTCTTTATCACCAACATATTATGCTAAATTTAACTTCATTCTATGAGACCACTTCACTTAAGAACTCTACTCTAGATTCTAGGACAACATTGTTTATTGAGGTCAATGATAATCAAGTCTGAAAATAAAATCAGACTTCTGAACTTCAAGTCATGATTATGTTGTTTTGTCAACACTTTTTGGCAAATGATTCACTACTACCGCAATAGATAATAAATTGACATTGGTATATGAAAACAGAAAATGAAGTCTTCAGCTGCAGTGTCAGAGTTTAGCTACTTTTAGACTTAAGACGTTCTTTCTGACAGCTGCCTGTGAGTGAGTGTTAAAAAAAAAGAAAGATAAATATATAAATCACTCTTTCAATTACCATAATGCTAGCCACAGGAAATTACAAAAACACAATAATAACCATTGTCAAGTTTTATATCAGTTTTACATCACCACAGCTCATTGACATCACAGAATGCATTATAATTTGACAAAAGCCCATTTGTCCCATATTTTATATCTTCACATTCAAAAAGCTTTTTACTTTGAAACATAACAGGCACTTTGTGCTTTAATATCAAAGATGTCAACTGAAAAATGCCTAAGGCATCTGGATACAGGAGCTGACTTGTCATAATCACAGCACATGCCAGAGGAATGTCTTCACTTTGTGAGTAGATCAAGAGTACAAAAATGACATTAATTGGACACAGATAAAGTAGTCATCGCTGGGCTCTCTCTCAGTGTTTCTGCGCTTGTCTCAGTCAGAAGCGCAACAAACAGAAAATGTCACCACTGAACTTCCGCCCAAGCCGCCAGATGGAGTAGACGTGTCAGTCCACGCTCCCTGACTTTACAACTTATACGTGGCCACTATACGTTCTAAACTTGTTTTATTTTTGGTTACTTTTACCTTTTGTGTTTTACACCTTTTTTGTTCGAGAATGTTGAAAAAATCGAAGAGAGATGACGATGAGCTTACCAGTTCTGCTAACTGCTAACTTCTTTCGGAGTTTAAGGAATCATACTCAAAATTTGAGACCAAATTGGACAATTTTCAGACCACTGTTAACGACCACCATCAATGTATTTCCAAACTGGAGGAGTTTGCGAGCTCTGCTGACGAAGATCTGCGGGATGTGCAATCTAAGATCACGGCTTTGTTAGCGGACAATGTCAAGTTGAAGGCTAGGCTAACGGATCTTGAAGGAAGGAGTCGCCGCAACAACGTGCGCATTGTTGGCCTCCCAGAAGACATTGAAGGCCCCCAACCAACTGCATTTTTCTCTCGGATGCTTTTTGAGGTATTTGGGGACAATATTCTCACTTCGCCGCCCGAATTGGATAGGGCCCATAGCACTCTGGTCGCTAAACCGGGGCCCTCTCAGCAGCCACGGTCGGTGGTTGTTTGTTTTCACCGATTTCAGACCCAGGAGCTAGTGGTGCGTGCGGCCCGAAGCGTGGTAAGCTGAAATATAAAGATTCTCCCATTCACATCTTTGAGGACTACTGCCCAGAAGTTTTGGAGCAGCGTGGAAAATATCGAGATCTCATGAAGCAGTTGTACGACATGGGCCTCAAGCCAGCGCTACGTTATCCAGGTAGGCTGTTTATTGTTACAGAGGATGGCTCGAGGAAGTGCCTGCCTTCTGTGAGAGAAGCCAAGGATTTCATCGCCCCTAGCACCCTCCCGGTGAATGTCGGCCCCGAACCTGCGGAGGACTGATTTCTGTTGGATAGAATACGTGCAGCATTTTCGTTTATGGCGACTTTAGCTATTTTGGTTCTGCTTTACGTATTGCTGTATGGCAACTAGGACAGCAGCTTTTTGAGTTAATATTACCGCACTTTGCTGCTCTCTTCTTTTGGTTTCAAATACAGTTGCTGTTGTGATCTGTTTCCTTTTCTTTTTTTTTGCTGTTAATACTACTGCACTTATACTTATATTTTTATTTATCATTATTACTATTTTATTCCTTTCTTTAGTATTAATATTACTTTGTAGATCGTACTAACAGGTTTAATTTCAAACTGACCTGTTACTGATGTTATCGTGACTGGTGGCCTGCATTAATGACCGTAATCCTAACCCTAACCCTGCCCCTGACCCTAACCCTAATCCTCCACCCTTCATAATTTTTAGAAATAAATATTTTTTGGTTAAACTTATTTGGACTTATTGTACAAACCTGTTTAACATACACTATTAACATAATATTATGGATAGAGTTTAATTAAGTGTTTGAAAGATTAATTTCACTATTAATGTCTATATTGCCATGAGGAATTACATTTTGTTCTGCTTTTCTTTCTTGCTGTTTTGACAGGTTTCACGTTGTTTACCAGGGTAGGAAAAAAAAGGATGAGAGCAGGTGAAAAAGTGTGTTTTTTGGGGGGTTTTTTGTCGACTCCAAATGGAAATCACATCAGTCCTTTCTTCCTCTGTCAGCCTCCATCTACCATCTGCCTCTCTTCCCCCTGTCCTTCTCTTGCTGCTGTCAGCCCGTGAATGTATCAGCCTCTGTGCATCATGCATTTTTTAGACACAGGAGTTCTGTGCTTGTTTGTCATTACCCTTTTTTTCCCCTGTGGTTTAAGATGGGTCTGGTCTGTGTTAGGATGCACAGTTGTCGGTGTGATTCTGTCAGATTTTGGGATGTGATTTACGAGTAGTTTAAACGGTTTTCTTGTAGGTGAGGTTCATATGTGTTCCAAAAAGCAGAGAGCAACCCCCTTAATGGCACTTTTTCTAAATAGTCAGATGTCTTTTCTTTTCTTTTTTTTTCATTCTTGGCTACTATGAAGTATTCTAACCTGGGCCGAAAAGAATTCCTTTGAGCTTAACTCAATTCTCCGTTTTGCTCTTTGATGTTCTATTCAAGCATTGTCTGAACCCATCAATTAATCTGCTTTAAAACACTTTCCTCCGATCATGGGGGTGCACACCACAGCGCGGTGCTCCCGTTGTGCCAAGGCTCTGTATCAAGCTTAGCTGCAGGAAAGCTTGGATTTTCAGGGACACTCAAGGCTCTCTTTGATCAGACATTGAAAAGCATTTTTGTTTAAATGCTTTTAGTCAGGGGCAGCCACCCTTTGAAAATGAGCTTGCACTTTCAGTTTGATCAAATAAACGTAGAAATAATTTTCATGCCTGAAGAGTGGATGATGTCTTTACAAATGAGCCCGTTCATTGCATGTGTGGTGTTTAAATCAAGGCGTGAATGCTAACAATACAGCTCTTTGCTTTTATCCTAACTTAATCCCTGCTAATTATAAGGATTTCTACCCGTAGTTTACAGTCTTATCGGGACTTAAGATGTGTTTGAATTTTTCATTGTTTCTTGGAGATTTTATTGGAAATTCATTCCTAGTCAGATTTAAAGCAATGTCTTTGTAAACTTGGCAGTAAAATTAACCTTTTAATTATTTTATTTTTTTTATTCTCAGGGTCTGACTACAGTCTCAGAAATCCAAAGCATAGAGGCTCTGCCTGGCACCTTTGACCAGTCGCAGTCTATCACTAATATTTCCAGGATTTCCACAAAGACCAAGACCAAAAAAAGAAGAGCCCTGCACCACCTGGTGCCCCAACACCCAGCATGGGACATGCAGGCTTTGAAAGCAACCAGGTAAGAGAAAGCAAATGACTTTGGCTGTTTCACTCTCATTCAGATAGATAATGTAACAGCTTCACTAAATAACACTGTAGTGTAATAACTGTAGTAGTTGATTCTTATAAGAAAAAGTACTGGTACTCCATAAATTGTTCTAAAGATTAAACTAATGCTCATATTAAGATTTGCCACATAACCCCTTCATTCCTAAATAATCTGAAAATACGATTAAAGAGTCAACTGAAAAATACATGAGCTGCTAGACGAATGCCAGGCTAATGTCTTCACTTTGTTTACCCGAGATGGAAACTTGACAATAAACCAGAGTAGATCAAGAGTACAAAAATGACATTAATTGGACACAGATAAAGTAGTCATCGCTGGGCTCTCTCTCAGTGTTTCTGCGCTTGACTCAGTCAGAAATGCAACAAACAGAAAATGTCATCACTAAAAATACTTTTTCCTGTTCATGAATGCAAGTAAATAAGTAGAAATGCAGTTCATCCATCCATCCATCCATTATCGTAACCGCTTATTCCCTAATGGAGTCGCGGGAGGAACTGGAGCCTAACCCATTGGTCAGTGGGCGAGAGGCAGGGTACACCCTGGGCGGTCCTCCATCGCAGGGCGAGTTCATTTATTAAAATGAATTTTTGGTACATTTTTTTGTTTATTTGAAAACGCAGTTTTAACATATACTTTATTATGACCCATATTTTAGATATAATTTCGGCTAAACACACCGTTGCAAAAAACAAACAAACATGAAAATGGCTTGGAAATCTCAGTTGTGAAATTGATCACTTTGACTCTTAGTCTGAAAAGTTCTGGAGGGAAGTTGACGTCGCTACCAGGAAGACAACAAAAGTGTGAGATGCGTCTTTAACGTTTACACGTCGCGAAAGTAAGCCGGTGTCATTTACATGTCCAAATAGATAGACAGCCAGAGAGAGAGAACGGTAAAGCTAAATATATAGAATAGACCCCGACATTATTTGTGACAGGAAAGAAAAAAAACTGTTTTGTTTTTTTGTTGGGATGCTAGTTAGCTAAAGCAAGCTAACGTCACAACAACTCGAGTTAAAGTTGGTCTACTCTGCCAGTTTCAGACGTTTCATTCGCTTCAAATTCTGTTATACTGGGAAGTGAATTGCACATAATAGCGTACAATAAACATTCCAACACGATAGCTGATATGAATATTATAAACATAATGTTGTTGTTTTTAGGAACACCTTTTTTATACAAAGTGACTATTGTGCATGGTCGATTAAGATATGAGGTAAATAGGGTATAAAATAGCCAAGCAAGAAGTCGTTTTTGTTGTGGATAAGTTTTCATTTCGGTTCCAGTCTTGATTTGTTGTGAGTATGTGTCTGATTTTGGATTTGGATGCCGCTTTATGACGGTGTTCTGTCAGGTCAGCATACCCCGAGAGACCACGGAGCTGCCCGTAACCTGTTCCAAAATCTCAGCCAAGTGTTTGATTGTTAACGGCAGTCAGATCTTTCAATTGCTGCGACTAAACTAAAATAAATTACAATTTGTTTACATTAAAGTTTGCATTGTGGAATCTAGTCATGCCAGTCCTCAATCCATTTCTCAGTTTTGTCTCTCAGTCCCTTTCTTTTCACTCCTCGTTTTAGAGCATTTCACTTCGTTTTATGTTACTAAGATTTTATAAGTGGCTGTATAAATAAATTATAAGGTACTGAATGAAAAGACTGATGAAACTCATGAAAATATCTTCTCTTTGCCAGTTTTGTTATATATTCTGCAGAAAGAGTTTCAACACCCACTTTTCACCTATTTCAATTACAAAACACATCATTCACACGGAAACCAGCCAGACCAATTTGAAACTTTTTTTTTTTTTTTTTTTTTAAGTGATACGTCCCTGAATGTTTCTTGGGCTTGACTTCATGGTCATCTATTTTCTTTGCTCTCTTTTTTAGTTTTTAGGATCAGCTTTCATCTCAAAGTGAGAATGACAGACTCATCACTTCTTAACTCTGAGTTGGAGCTCCAGCAACAAGAGGAACTTTATCAGCAACTGCTGTTACAGGTGATACAAGCTGCAACATGTGTGAACATGTGAAACAGGCTTTACATGAACATTGCTAATTGACTCACCAAAGATTCATAAGGTTAACAGAAGGACATTTCACAGTGTAACATTTTCCCTTGTAAAAGTCATAGTCTCTTTTATCATGTATAAAGACAGTAACTCTGGATTTGCTCCTCTCTGTGAGTGCTCGGTCCTCTGACCTATTTTCCACCACGAGACACACAACTGTTATTTTTCTTTAAGACTAAGCAACAACCATCCAACGATTTAGTGGGTGAGATTGAGTTACTGGAAAATGGGCTTTTATAGATTGATAAGGCTTTTTAATTAGAAATGTTTCAATCATTTATGACGGTGGTTTTTAAAAGCCAGAGTAAAAATAAAGTAGTTATAGAGCGCACAACACAGCGTAAAACAAACACCTGAAAACAAAGAATCTTGATAGTCAAATAGCTCACAAGATAATTAGAAGAGTCATGCAAGAAAGTGTAAAAGCCAATGCCATGAAAGAATACATGTATCCATTTGTTTTGAAACTTTTGAGCACAGATCCAAGGAAGTGAAGTAAACTTGGAGAAGTGTGGTTGGCTGGTATTTAATGATTAACTGGGCCTTTTTAAAGGCACCGCAAAAGGCGGACAGATTACACCAGAGCATAATAGTGAAGACAGACTGGACTTGAAGATTTATTAAAAATAAAGGATTGCACCAGTTAAAATAACCTGATACCACAGATTTAGAAATCTGAATTCAGACATTTGTTTACTTTAAAACCAGGCATCTAGGATATTGGCATTGACCAGAGCAGGCTCGAGGCATACGCAAACATCTAAATGCACACATAGAGTCAAACTCTTTGAGATTCCCACCAAGAGACCAAAGCGTTTCTGCAAACTATCAATGTAGTCCCATTCAATTCAATAAAATTTTATTTTATTTATAAAGCGCCACATCACAACAACAGTTATCTTACAGCAATTTCCAAACAGAGCAGGTCAGACCCTACTCTGAAGTTAATTACAGAAACCCAACAATTCCCACCATGAGCAAGCACTAGGCAACACAGGCAAGGAAAAACTTCCTTTTAACAGGCAGAAACCTCAAGCAGAACCATGGCTCAGGGTGGGCGGCCATCTGCCTCGGCCGGTTGTGGGTGAGGGAAAGAGAGGGCGAGAGAAGGACAGAGGGAGCACAGAGAAGCAGCCTACAGTAACACACATAAAGGATGAAATTGGCAATGATATTGAGACTAATGATAATGGTAGGAGTTATGACAGCAATAACACTATGCAAAGTAGTAGTAGAGTAGGAACACAGGGACAGCAGGAAACTCCCAATCACAGATCCAGCTTCCACAGCTCTAGGAACACCTGCAGGAAGTTATAGGAGGAGACTCCCAACTACAGATCCGGACCCCACAGCTCCAGAGCCAGGAATATCTGCAAAAAGTGATAGGAGGAGAGAGGAGGGGGACGACAAAACACACGACTACGGGGAAGGGAGAGAGTTCAGTTAGTAACATCGTTAATGGAATGAGGTGGCACTGGGAGGGAGAGAGAGAAAGGAGAGGGGAGCTCGGTGCATCATGGGAAATCCCCCAGCAGTCTAGGCCTATAGCAGCATAACTAGGGGTGGATTTACCCTACCTATAGGCTCTATCATAAAGGAAAGTCTTAAGCCTACTCTTAAATATAGAGACGGTGTCTGCCTCCCGGACCCAAACTGGAACCTGGTTCCACAAGAGAGGCCTCTGATAGCTGAACGCTCTGGCACCCATTCTACCCACAAAAATATATGTTTTACTTCAGAATAAGTAGAATAAGTTAAATTATCCTTTCCATGCATTTCGCATAACAGCAGCATGATTAGCTTGTTAACTATAGCCTTTTTTACCCTGAGGGCAAGAGATCTTTCTCATTCTACAGCATTCCAGCTCATGTTCGAGGGACCTGTCCCCAAATTCTTTCATGCCACTTGCTTTTAAAACAGTTTTGCGGGAACAGATTTAATTAAAAGTGCTATTTACATGGATTCCTACACTAGCCAACCAATGCTCTGCTGCCACTTTACTGACAGTATGAACATTCCATTCCTGGCTAACAGCCAACACAAATTCCATGGCACAGAGAAACATGGCAGGTTTTCAGGGACAAGGTTGTTTCTATATCATGTAGTTTATTATAAAAACAAGTGTTCTTTATGTGTTGTCTTGAGAAAAATCAAACAAAGATGAAAATAAATCTGTAGAAGGCTAAAATTAGCAGATTAATGCCCATCTGACTTATGTCGCCCACCCCCTCAGTTTCTCTGCCCTTTTTCCTGTCTCTAACAGATAAAGGCCAATAGTGCTGTTAAAATTTAAGAAAAAAATAATTTATTCACATAGGAAAAAGTTTGATTTTTTTTCTTTTTTTGTACTAGACAATGGGAAAACTGCAGGCTGAATCCAAAGTAATACGGCCCAGTCCAGGTAAGCCATTCCCACAGTAATACGCATTCCTTCCTTTATTCCACATTATAACACTTGTTTTATTTTCTATGTTTTTTAAATTTTTTACCAGTTTATGCTTTATTTTGTTTTTTTCTTTTTGTCCAGGGATGTGTGTGAAGACTTTGTCAGAGCCAGGCAAAGAGAAAGTCTTCATTAATATTTGCCAGTCAAACTCAGTGCCCCCCCCACCAGAACTCTCCAGAGATGAACTTGTGGAACTGCTTCAGTTAGACGATCCCAGCAGCTACAGAGTTCCCATGAGCCTTGGCGAGCCGCACACAGAAGTAGACAACAGTATGTGTTAAAATCCAAAAGAGCTATAGTTTTCCGAGGATTTGTTTGGGAAATAGAATCATTTTTGGAGAGGTGTTTGCATCATTCATCATGCATTTCTGATCTTTGTCCCCCTTTGCTGGAAATTAACACACCGAAGCGCTGACAAACCTTTTTTGTTATTTTATTTTGCATTTCTTTCATTTGAAAAGATGTTCAGCCTTTGAGGAAAACGTAGGAGACCTCGTAATTGAAACCACGCTGGAGGCGGACAGAGTTTGTTTTGGTTGTTTTTATTGATTTAATTATTTTTAAAAATGCAATCTTTCATATTTCCCTGTGCAGCTAATCCAATGCGGTTGCTGTGAGTTATTTCACATTGTATATGTTAGCTCTTTTTTCTGGCAATGTTGTTATAAATGTCACGAGAATAATCTGATTGAACGCATTATTCTGACCAAAAACGACTTCTAAAATACCTAGACATCTCAGTCCTTTTAAAACTGTTTATTTCTTCAGTGAGTTTTCATACAAACACGGGTTTCCTTGATATGGTCGGTGCAGATATGAAGAACAACCTCTATGCTAATGCAAACTCAACGTTGGACATCAGTCAATGTATTTTGGAGGGAAAAACAAGCTGTGTTTTTTAAAAATACCCATACAACACTAGCAGATGGCCACACAGGATGGTGTGGATTGTGCATTATTACCCAGGAATTTAATAAGAGCCCTGAATGTTCTGTTCCTAATGTGTGCCTCTGTCTTTAAAAAAAAGTATATTATTTTAATGTATATTAAAATAACAATCCATCCATCCATCCATCCGAGCCACCTCAACTGGCTCCTCTCCACGTGGAGGAGCAGCGGCTCTACTCTGAGCCCCTCCCGGATGGCCGAGTTTCTCACCCTATTTCTAAGGGAGAGCCCAGCCACCCTGCGGAGGAAACTCATTTCGGCCGCTTGTATCTGCGATCTCGTTCTTTCAGTCACTACCCAAAGTTCGTGACCATAGACGAGGGTGGGAACGTAGATCGACCGATAAATTGAGAGCTTCGCTTTTAGGCTCAGCTCTCTCTTCATCACGACAGACCGGTACAGCGCCCGCATTACTGCAGACGCCGCACCGATCCGCCTATCGATCTCACGCTCCCTACCCCCATTCGCGAACAAGACCCCGAGATACTTGAACTACTCCACTTGGGGAAGGACGTCCGCTCCGACTCGGAGAAGGCAATCTACCCTTTTCCGGTGAGAGACCATGGTCTCGGACTTGGAGGAACTGATCCCCATCCCAGCCGCTTCGCACTCGGCTGCGAACCGCTCCAGCAAGAGCTGTAGGTCCCGACTTGATGAAGCCAACAGGACCACATCATATGCAAAACGCAGAGATGCGACCCTAAGGCCACCAAGACTGACACCCTCAACACCTCGGCTGCGCCTAGAAATCCTGTCCATAAAAGTTATGAACAGGACCGGAGACATAGGGCAACCTTGGCAGAGTCCAACTCCCACCGTAAACGAGTCCGACTTACTACCGGCAATGCGAACCAGACTCTGACTCCGGTCATACAGGGACCGAACAGCCCGTAACAAAGGGCCAGGTACCCCATACTCCCGGAGCACCCCCCACAGGATACCCCGGGGGACACGGTCGAACGCCTTCTCCAAGTCCACAAAACACATGTGGACTGGTTGAGCGAACTCCCATGCACCCTCTAGGACCCCGCTGAGGGTATAGAGCTGGTCCAGCGTTCCACGGCCAGGACGAAAACCACACTGTTCCTCCTCGATCCGAGGCTCAACTATCCGTAAGAAGGAACACTGGTTCTTTTATAACAGGCTTATTGAATAAATACAGGAAATATTTCTTAGAGTCAAGTCATGTTGGCCTTAGCCAACATGACTTGAATTTCGAGTGGTCCTCTGGAGCAGAGAAAGCCTCTTTGACTCAGACTGAAGGGGCCCCATTTACTCCAAACCATCAGTTGAACTAATGAGATGTTTACATTATGTAGTTTAGTGACCGTTTGTCTTCCTAAGTTCACACATTTCCGTATGTTCTTGAACTCCATGGGGTTTACTCTGTTTAGAACTTTTATCCAAACACTTTTGCACAGTTTCTCTGTTTGAAGTTTCCTAAATCTGTTTTTTCGTCTAAAATCCAACATGTCCTGCATCTCTGTTTCAGACTCCCAGGGTTGCACGGCCTATGATGTCGTCATCAACCAGGAATTCTTCCAGAAATGCCAGGTATGTCCTTAGCTTCTGGCAGGCCAGAACTCAGCTGCCAGGCTTTTAACAAGAAGAAATTGAGCTCAGTATATCAGTTTTAGCCTCCTTGTGCCATTGATGTGTTATCCAATTTATCTTTTCTTTCGACTGGGAAGTCCCTTTGTGACTGTTAATTCAGGTCAGTACCCTCCGGCTGAGGACCTGTTTTCCTGAACACATGCAACTTTGATTTGTGGTTGAAGAAACTAACTTCTTGAGGAGAAGTTAGTTGCTTATCAGCTCCACGGATACCACTTGCTCTCTTAAATCCCCTCTTTATACATTATTTTATGTGAGCCTCTCCCGATTTTGCTTGATTTTGGTTTTTCTTTTTTTTACCTGTAGCTTTAAGAATCTCTTTGGCGCTTGAATTGCTTTATTCCAATAATCAGTAACTTGTACAGCTGAAATGCCTTAGAATATAATGGAATGTAAAATATTCCCCAATCATGTAATATATAACATCTAACATGCACGTCGTGTATGTGTGTTGTAGACAGATCCCTTATTCCAGCAGTTTGTCATTCTGGTGTCTGTGGAGGGTTTAGAAAATAAATACAGTCTGGAGCTCAGCAGAGGTGAGTGCGTTTGCGTGCATTTGTGTCACCTTCTTATTGTCGTGCCGTCAGCTAAAGCGTTCCTGTTTCGTCTTTGCACAGACTGGAAGGTGTTGAAGAACAGGAAGTTCTTGGGTTCTATTGGCGAACAGAACATTCGGACAAAGAGCAAGCCAGTGATCCAAGAGCTGCAGGCTGAGTATGTGCCAATGGTAACGGAGGAATGCGTTAGCGATTTTTAGTTTAACTTTTTTCCAATGCTAAATGTTCCAACTGCTTGTTTTACTGCAGGGAAACGTCCCAGGCAGGTGCTAAAAGGTGAACATTTCTTCACTGTTCTTGCTTTCTGTTTATTATCTCCTAGTTTAGATGAACTTTTCTCATACTTAACCTTTTTTTTCCTTTTTTTTTATCCCATGTGCCAGAACCAGTGAACCAGAGTTTACACTGCTCGTGGAGCCTCCTGTTGGAGAGCCGGAACACCTCGTTGCTGAGATTAAGTTGCCTAATGTGGTAAGACATCGTGTGCAGTGTCTCGCATGCAGATAAAAAAATTAAATCGATCCAGCTCAAGTGGATGCCGAAACACCTCAAGATAAAGCACCAAAAGTAAACGTAAAGCAGTTTTTTACCCATTTGAGGTAGAGGCTTACTTAACATCTCCTTTAAAAAAAGTCTTTGCCCCACAACACACTGTCAGAGTGTTTCTGGCACAAAGTAATATGACATTTAATACTCTGAAGATGAAGGATTTTTAAGTCTGCTTAAATAGTTTACTTAGATGTTTCCCTTATGAACGGCTTAAGCATGGTGCTGCATACAGAAAAACAGGGACTTGGACTAGAGCCTTAAGTCTTACCACATACCACAGACTGTAAAATCTGTGTTTTGCACAGGTTCATGTTAAGACAGGACTAGCGATGTCATTTGGAAACTGTGGTGTCATTATTGTATTCTTCATAGATTTCACATACAGTCGAGATCCAGGGCCCTAACCTTGTGTCCAATCTCTCCTTATAGCAGTTAAACAATCCATACTTCTTGCCAAAATTATTTTCATTATCCATCCACATGAGGATCTCATTATGTACTTATACAATACATATCCTCTCCTTTATGGTAAGTCTTGTGACTTTTATCTTTGAATATGTTTTCATAAAACCTCAAAACTCTTAGATGCAGTCCTACCTCTAGGTGACTTCCTGACCCCACTGTGGAATCTATGGAGAGTCCTATAGCACATCCAGATCCACTGTCAGTATTACCAGCAAAGAGAAACAGATGCTCAAACACATTTTTTCTATTGACATACTTTTTGTGCATCCAATAAAAGAAAAAAGTCAAAAGAAATATTATGGTTTAGAAGCAATATTTGGCTATCAAGGAAAGAAGACCCACCCATCAAGCAGCAAATCGTTTTCAGAATTTCATTTGCTTCTCAATGTGCCACAGCAGTCAAATCTACCGCAATTGGTCTGAACTTCAAATGGAATACAGGAAGGAATACATTTGACCTGCCAATAATATAATAATTGACTGTTGTGCCAATTGTGTCACTCAAAAGTTTAAAGACAAGCTGTTTTGGTATAACATGGAGGCTAATACATGCATGCCAACCGGAGCTACGATCAAGAGTATTTGAAACATATACTAGTTTGATGGAAATTTTTAAGGTTTGGAGCAGCAGACTGTGCGTCTTTATGGATGTCCTACTTGTTGTGTTGTTATTACTTTACTGGATTACATTAAGCGGTCCAAACATTTAGTCATAATGTTCCATTTCACTTGGAAACAGTCTGTGTATGGTTTGCTAAGCAGAGCCCTGTTAACTGAAATGGCCAGGCAAGGTTCAAAGTTATCGTTATTGTCTTTGGAAAGTTTCCAAACAACACTCCAAAGGGAACGCAAAATAGCTGTACTGGTTGAATGGTATTTTTTAATTTTTTAAAGTGTCCGTAACTGAACTATTCACATTAATGTGAAAAAACCCAAGTTAGTTTGATTTCAGTTTTCTCTGATTTCCCTGTTTTGCAGAGAAGCCCTGACACAATATCTTACATAGCTAAGTGAAGGGATTTAATCTGCATTGACTTGTCTGTTGTGCAGCCGTCCTCTCGCTCTCTGGTCCTGGATGTCGGAGAGGACCGCCTTGTGCTTGTTGCTCGACCGTCACTCTTCCATCTCGACATCTTCCACCCGTTCCTCGTCGACCAGGAGAACAGCGTGGCGCAGTTCAATAAGAGCACACAGGTATCCGAAGGCACACCGACAAGTTTTGCACAAACGACACGATGAATGAAATGGTTCATCACTTGCATTGTTCTTAGGTCTCACACACTCCAGTCCCAGCTCATTCTGCCTGTGTCCTACCTAAATGGCCCCCAAAGCCCCCTTTAAAGGGCTAGATAATCACATAGGACCTTTTCATTGTAAAATACAGCAGTAGGGATAACCACGTTTTTGTTTTATCATACAGACTCAATGTGTTGACACACATTTTCCAATCTCTCTTCTAGGTGCTCACTGTCACTATGCCTGTGGTGTCCTCAGGAAATCTCTGAAATGCTATCCACTTTTTTTTTTTTTCTAGAAAGCTGCTGTGATAATGATTTTTTATAAAGAAAGTTTGTTTGTGTTTGTCCCCTGTATGACTGCAATTTCCTTTTGTGAGAACACTAAAATATGACCCTTGTTGTTAAAAAGAGGCTTCCAGAAGAAAAGCAGTTGAAAAGGACTACAAATTATTAATTTTTTAGCATTGAATTAGATGATAAATCAAAACAATTCTAATACTTTATTTTTTATGCATATTTATTTATCTAATTCAGGGGTTAAAGAGGCTCTCTAAACTGCACAAGCCTAGATTAAATATGCCTCCCAAAACCCTCTATGAAACATGATCCACAAGACTTCAATTATACCACAGCCTGTGAAATAAACTTTTGGAGATGACCAATGGAAATTGCAGTAATTTGTTGTCTTTGCAGTAATGAAATATGGCAATACGCAGATTACTTGTGGTAATGGATTAGAAAGAGCTTTCAGAGACTGGAAAATAATTTCTACCTGTGTCTTAACACTTTTCACTAACCCGCTATAAGAATATATAATAAAAGAGCTTGTTTATACTCAAAATGATAGAACCGATTTCTGACTGGCTGCCAAATAAACTATCATTGTTTCTAAAGAGATACAGAAGATTAAGGTGGAGACTTCATACATTGTATCCATGACTACGATAATTTCAGATAAGATAACCGTTGCCATTGTCTTTTTTGGTATGTCCTTTCTGTGAACTGCAAACATAAACAGATTAAGAAGTCACTATTTCTGGATCTGCTCCTCCCATCCATTTCCCTGTTGATACTGAAAAACAAAAAGCAAGCGTACAGAGAGATGCTCTCTCCTAGGTTGATTTACTCCAAAGAGAAATGAAAAACAACTAAGAATGACTCAGATGTTTATGTGTTTTTGTTATATCTGAAAGATACAGAAGAATATAACTGATTTTCTTGATTTACTTAAAACATCCATCCATCCATCCATCCGTTTTCCACCGCTTATACGGGGTCACGGGGGCAGCAGCTGAAGCAGAGAAACCCAGACTTCCCTCGCCCCCTACACTTCTGCCAGCTCCTCCGGGGGGATCCCAAGGCGTTCCCAGGCCAGCCGAGAGACATAGTCCGTCCAGCGTGTCCTGGGTCTTCCTCTGGGCCTCCTCCCAGTGGGTACTTAAAACATGAAAAGTTACTAACTGTATTCATCAACATTTCTCCCATCCTTATAGCTGTGATAAACCTGTTGTGGTATGAAAATAACTCAAATTTCTGTTCTCAAATGGATATTTGAATGTCAAATTTAATTTCCTACATGAACCTTTACAAGTACAGCCCTTGCGCTTTGTTCGGAGTTCCCTCAGTTTGAAAATATGTAATTAAGACGTTTATTGTTCCATTTGCTCTTCTGTCAAGCCTGTACCTTTGACATTTTAAGAAATAACTCAAATCTTTATGTTTACTTTGCTGACATTGATCCTCCCTCCTGACATTATTTTTACCACATTATGTTGATCACTTCCGCCTGGAGATTATTCAGCTGTTTTGTTTGAAATGCAGAGCAGCCCTCAAAAAGGAACAGTTAAACTTGGACATGTAACTAAAAGTACTAGAATGTCAATATTTTCTCCTGCGGGGATCAATTTGAAAGACAAGAGCGGCATCAAAAAGGCTCCTGGGTCAAATTCAGAGCATACTTATCACTTAACTTCAGGACGGCTAGTTCCCGAATTCCTGGCTGAGCATTATTCAGAGGGCCCAGATTATTTGGCATCTTATTTCCAGTTTATCGGCAGACGATAAAGCAATAGGTTTTCCCAGCAGGGCCTGCATCTCTAAAGCTGTGGATATCTATTGGCAGGGAGCTGCTTGTTGGATCTCAAAATGACTTAGCATAACTATCTTTTGGTTCCGGTGATCTATCTAAATTAAATGCCCTTTAAAGTACTAAGGAGAGCACATTCAGTTCTTGCGGCTCTTGCTACACCAGCTGATTCTGTGATGTAGTTTGAATGACGCCCAAACTCAAAGCCAGGTGAGCTCATGGCCAAACTTGTTGTTACCCAGGTCTGTACCATACAAACCTTTGTTTGCTAGTTACAGCTCCTGGATCCCACTCAACTTTTAACGCCATGGTTCCTCGTTGGCCTTGATTCTAATCTCTTTTCAACATAGTTTGCGTAAATGTATCTGTTTTGCTATCAATGTCCAAAATATCCCAAAACTTGCAAAACAAGTCCACAAGTCCAAACATCCACACTCAATCTCTGTGATAATAATGTTTGTTCTGATATGCTGTTCTTTTTTGTGCTGCTGCACATTATGACAAAATTTCTCTATCTATCATTTCTCCAGAAGTATTTTTGTTTTCTTCAGATGTGACCCTATAAACCCCAAGCTGTGTCTCCATGTTCTTTTTAGAGAAAATGGTTTATCTCTTGAAACCCTTTAATTCAAACTACGATTTTCCGCCTTTATCTAATTAAAGTGAATATTGTTGTGAATGATAATTCAACACGCCAGCTGAGGTCAGTGTTTTCGCTTTTGCTCTTTTGTGCAATTTTGTCTGGGTATTGCACAGGCTGGCACAGGAGTAAACTATATGTAATACCCACTCGTGGGAGGGCAACAGCTGTCTTAAATGTTTTCCACTTGTGAATAATCTTTCTCTCTGTGGAAAGGTTGGACTCCAAACTGTTCGGAAATGCCGCCACAACCATTTCCGGATTGACAGGTAGCAAAAGTTGGCCTGTGTAAGATCATTTGTAATGATCTTTCCTCCTTGATATTGTTTTAACTCACACTTGAATGTACGTGTTTATGCTCAAGTAATCAAGAACTTCCTGCTAATTGCACTCTTAATTCCCATTTCCCAACAGTCCTACTGTTTTTTTGTTGTTTTTTTTTGCACATGGACTCTGTTTTTTGTAACAATAATAAAGAATTGTATTGTCATCTGTCAATCATCTGATGTTTGGTTTACCTTTAAGAGAAAGTACAAGATCATTTGGGTTGGATGGTGTCACTTAATTTTATACTTGACAAGATATCCCAAGCCAGTTGCCCCTTAAACAATAATCAAATGTAATTATCCTACAAGCAAGGTCTATCCTGTCTTCAGCTCTGTCAGGCTGATTAACTTCCTCTGTATTTCATAACATTCTGAGTTGTGGAGAAACAAAAAAAAGAAAAAGTTCATTGTCTATCCTCTTGCAGCTTTCGCTCCCTTCATCCATCAAACCCTCCCTCTTTATTTTTCATCCCCCTCTCCACCTGCCCTGTGCCACCCTTCCATTTGTCCAGTGAGGTCATCGCTCAGTTCTCCCTAATCCTGCGAGGTGCTCGTCTTTCCGCCTTTGCTTAATCCACCTGTGGCCTGTAGCCCTGACCACACACTCACACACATGCACCTACACAGATGCATATGTGCAAAGTCTTGCAGTTATTCTTGTATTGTATGCTCAGACTCACAGTAATTCCACAGCATGTATCCACACATAGTTATTGGACACACACACATACTGCTCAACTCTTGGTATAAAGTTGCCTCTGCTTCTGTCTTTGGCTGTCATCCTTTTGTCTGAGTCTTGTGTTCACTTGTACTGCTCCTTCATACAGGTATGTCTGTTTTTTTTATTCAAATGTAACCTGTTAAATCAAGTACAGCTAAAATGTGTGTAATTAACTGGGATTTTTGTTGGGCAGCAGCTTATTTCTTTACTTTTTGCAACAGTGTCACCCATCCCAACCCTTGATTGTAATATGTGGTTTTCAACTCCAGTTTAAATTTAAAAGAAGAACAAAAACTCTGAATTGAATGAAAATAAATGGCTACTCTATGAATCTGTGCTTTAGCTGTTTTCATTTTATGTTTTGTGTTCTGTATGTTTGTCTGTATTTTAAATCTAACCTTTTCCATAATGGAATGATTCACACAGAAAAGATCTAATGTTTTATGTCTTTTTCAGCTCCACCGAAACAGACTTTTGGTTTGATTTATATTGCTTTGTTTAGTTGTAAACAGTATTCACATATTCCCCAGGTTTTGTCGTTATTGTATGTTGCCAAGACTTAAACTATTATAGTTCCAAATTGGAATTAGTCAAAATAAATTCAATATACTCCTCATTAATGGTACCAGTTTATTAAAAAGATTCAAGTTAACTTTGTGTGAAATAAAGGTGAGCTCATGGGCTGTCATTCCTTTTCTGTCAAATAAAATACATTTAATGCACAGATCTAACTTTTTTCAGAATAGAACTCCCCCCTCCCACTCACCCAAGCCAGTATTCCTCTGGACTGTACAGAAAGGTGGGGTATTGGCCAATGAACCTCAGTATTGGCTGTAACAGACTATAGCTTTATTTATTCCTCTGACAAAACCCTCTCACCTTTATGTTTGCATATGTGCTATCCAATTCATCATCAATTTCACCTCTGCTTGACAGTGATGGCACACAGCTTAGGTGCTGACAGAAACTTTCAGCAAGGGGTGCTGGGGTTGTGGCAACAAGTGTGCACAGCTAACTTTGTCTTCCTAGAAACATGTTTACGGATTTTTAGGAGTGGACATACAGGCACCACATAAGACTGGCGTCCACTCTTGATGAATTAGAACTAATAAATGATTGTGAACTGAGGGAGTAAATTGTTGTTAGATACAGTCGGTTTAGCAAAGACAGGTATAACAGTGTGATGCCATTTAAGCTTTTCTAGGTCTTCAGTCCTGGATTAGCCTTTATAAAATTAAAAAAACATTAGAAACAAGTATGAACTGTTATCTCTCTCTTAGTTTAACTTTTAATTAATGCTTTATTTGGCAGTTCATTGAGCAGTGATGTCAATCTTATGTCCCCTCATATCATTACTTAGCAATCTCTGCCAAACTCGTCCACGATGTTATCAACTGTACAAGCCAGCTTTAGCACCTGTAGTAAGCTTGTATTTTTGTCTGCCTGAGGCTATAGGAAATGTGGATGTGTACAGCTCAACAGTGGCTTTTAAAGGTAATGGAGTCACAAGTTGTGACCTCAAAATAATCAAGTTTCCAAATTCTAGCTCAAAATACTTAAAACAATGTAAACTCAGGTGTGATTTTTAATGTAAACTCAGATTTTTGTTTACACAAACTGATCTAAGGCACATTGGTTGCATTTTTAATATAAAGTTAATTATTGGAGCTTTGATATAGTTGGATTTGTTTTCTTAGAAATTCTAATAAGCCTTTCCTCTATTCTCTTTATTCTAATATTAGCATACTGTAGCCTCTGTCTAACAATGATGAGCTCAACCTATTCTTACACACAGTCATTCTTCAGCTCTCCTGACACACACAGACAAACACTTGTTGTCCTTGACAATAAGTCCTTCTCTGGTGGCCCGTGGCAACATGACACTTCTCCCAAATCCCTTGGTTTTTCATGGTCCCTACCCTCCTTTCATATAGCTCCAAATAGTTCGTTCCAACCGCCCTAACTGAAGTGTTGAAATGTGCACCTCTCATTCATCCATCTGACATATCTCTACCCGCCCTGTCCCTATCACTGATGCCTTCATTCATATGCCTTGTATACCCATTCAGTTAAACATAGCCTTCTAGTTTGTTTTCAAAAAAGAAAACACTTAATGGACTTATATCCTACATTTTCAGACAATTTTAGATGATATTTTCTAATAAATATTAGTTTAGAAATTTCATCAACATACCATTTTCATGTCTGTAAAGTATAATTTATACCTCCGCTGTACAAGACAGACATGATGGGAATTCTGCGTCAGCCCAAAGACACATGGTATTAAGTTTCACATAAAATCGCCAGTGATAATTCCTTCAAGGTAAATACTGCACTGTTGATGTCCATCAAGCATGGAGCAACATCCACAAATAATAATGATAGTCATGCGTCCCCCTGACATTTGCGCTGGATTGGTTGTTTTTGATTTCTTTACCGTTTTGCTGTTGAATACTCAGTTGTTATGTCTCTCTGCAGTTTAAATTAATGGGTATAGATTTTGTGGTCTTCTTACTGTAGCTTCTAATTTTGCAGGTTATGGTGAAAAAATCCCAATGCCGTTTTGACAGTAGAGGCTAAAAAATAAGTTTTATTCAATTCAAAAAGAAAATATTAATTAAAGACCGACAGTGTTCATATTCAATTCAATTCAATTTTATTTATATAGCGCCACATCACAACAACAGTTGTCTCACAGCGCTTTCCAAACAGAGCAGGTCAGACCCTACACTGAAGTTAATTACAGAAACCCAACAATTCCCACCGTGAGCAAGCACTAGGCGACACAAGCAAGGAAAAACTTCCTTTTAACAGGCAGAAACCGTGAGCAGAACCATGGCTCAGGGTGGGCGGCCATCTGCCTCGGCCGGTTGGGGGTGAGGGGAAAGAGAGAGCAAGAGAGAGAGAGAGGGCGAGAGAAGCACAGAGGGAGCAGAGAGAGGCAGCCAACACAGCAACACGTAGACTAGATTAAAAATGGCAATGATATTAATGCTAATGATGAGCAGGAACACGGGGGCAGCAGGAAACTCCCAACCACAGATCCAGACTCCACAGCTCTAGGAACACCTGCAGGAAGTGATAGGAGGAGACTCCCAACCACAGATCCAGACCCCACAGCTCCAGAGCCAGGAATATCTGCAGAAAGTGTTAGGAAGAGAGAGGAGAGAGAAGGGGGACGAGAAAGCACACGACTACGGGGAAGGGAGAGAGTCCAGTTAGTAACATTGTTAATGGGATGAGGTTGCACCGGGAGGGAGAGAGAGAAAGGAAAGGGGAGCTTGGTGCATCATGATGCATCCCCCGGCAGTCTAGGCCTATAGCAGCACAACCAGGGGTGGACTTACTCTAACTATAAGCTCTATCATAAAGGAAAGTCTTAAGCCTACTCTTAAATATAGAGACGGTGTCTGCTTCCCGGACCCAAACTGGAACCTGGTTCCACAAAAGAGGACTCTGATAGCTGAACGCTCTAGCGCCCATTCTAGTTTTCAAGACTCTAGGAACTGCCAGTAACCCTTCATTCTGGGAATGCAGTTCTCTGGTAGGGCAGTAAGGTACTAAAAGCTCTTTCAGATAAGATGGGGCCTGACCATGAAGAGCTTTATACGTAAGGAGAAGGATTTTAAATTCTATTCTGGATTTAACAGGAAGCCAGTGCAGAGAAGCCAAGACAGGAGAAATATGATCTCTTTTTCTGGTTCCTGTAAGAACACGTGCTGCAGCATTCTGGATCAGCTGAAGAGTCCTAATGGACTTTTTTGAAGACCCTGATAACAAGGAATTGCAGTAATCCAGCCTAGAAGTAACAAATGCATGGACTAGTTTTTCTGCATCATTTTTACACAGGATGCTCCTAATTTTTGCGATATTACGAAGGTGAAAGAAGGCGGTTCTTGAAATTTGCTTAATGTGAGAGTTAAACGACATGTCCTGATCGAAGATAACTCCAAGATTTCTCACAGTGGTGCTGGAGGCCAGGGCGATGCCATCCAGGGAAACTATATCTCTAGATAATGCGTCACGAAGGTGTTTAGGCCCTAGAACAATAATTTCAGTTTTAGCTGAGTTTAACATTAGAAAATTGCAGGTCATCCAGGTTTTAACATCCTGAAGGCACATTTGAAGCTTAGCTAGCTGATGAGTTTCATCTGGCTTGATCGATAGGTATAAATGAGTATCATCTGCATAGCAATGAAAGTTGATAGAGTGTTTCCTGATAATATTACCTAAAGGAAGCATATATAAAGTAAAGAGGATTGGTCCGAGAACGGATCCTTGCGGAACTCCGTGGCTAACTCTGGCATGCATGGAGGACTCATCGTTAACATACACAAACTGAAACCGATCTGATAAATAGGACCTAAACCAACTTAGAACGGCTCCTTTAATGCCGATGAAATGCATCCATATGCACTACTTAAGCTACAAGTAATGTTTTTGTTTTGTTTTTTGTCAATTAAGCTAGGTTAAAATGATCCTGTGTATACATTTGTTTACTTTCTGGAAATGGGCCAGAGTTGGTACCTTTGAGCTTTTATTAACAAAAGCACATACTTTTTTTAATTGAATTTCATCCTGTTTACATTTGAGGGAGGGTGGTAGCTGAGTAAGGAAATCGAAGGTTTAAGACTTTATTCGGAAGTCTTAAAAGCTATTTCATCTCTGTTTGATTTAAAATGACATTTGGCACAATAGCAGACAATAGAAGACAGCGGCAGGCTTTCCACAACATTAACAGCTTCTTTTACTTAGCTAATGAGCCGCAAGGCTACTTTAAATTCTGCCTGATGATAGGAGGAATGAATTGGAATGAGATGGGACAGTTTGGGGAAATGTCTGCGGAAAAATAAAATATATTTAATCAAAAGATGTAATTGCATTGCAAAAGCATTTTTTAAATGTAACTTTAAGTTGATGAACAACACAAATAAGAAACATTAGGTTTCAAACTGGAGTCAAATTTATTCTATTTTTTTTTAAAAAGGTGTTTACATGCACATTTTTTAAAAGCAGATCTCCTACTTCAAAACCACACCTGAACTGTAAGGACACCCAGGGCAGAGAAGTGAGGATAGGGTTGGTCAGGATGAGGTTTGGAAGCTGGAAAGTGACAGAAACACAATCTACTTCAGTCTCTTTGTCTGACCCCAGTGTCACATACTCACCTGTTGACACTACATCAATCTTCCCCTGCCTCCTGCCAGGGGGGCATCAGCAGCACACATCCCCAGGGAATGCCAGTCTGTGAAAGGGTCTTTATCTCAGAACAATGGTAGCTCAGGGGGAGTATTTATAGCTCAATTTCTTTCTGTTTATCCATCTCCAAAGCGATTAATCAGAGGTGTGCGGAAAGAATAATGCACATCTCTTTAACGCATCAATTCATTTTAATGTCAGAAATAATTTTCTACTTAACTCTTTAAAAACTGATCCATGAAAAAATTGAGAGAAAATGAATTTCTTTTTAGTCTAAAGTCTTTATTTTGCCCTTTGACAAAAAATCAAAATGTCGACAAAAAACATTTGTTTCTTATTTAACATTTCTTCAACATTTATCTTCAGGGTTAGCACGTTGGAGAACAGGAGCTTTCAGTGTGGAGTTTGCATGTTACCTCTGTTTCTGCGTGGGTTCTCTCTGGATGTTTTACAGAGGCAATAAGAGCTGTCGTAATTTCCGTGAAAGGGTTGGAGTGCGGGGCGGCACAGTGGTGTGGTGGTTAGCACTGTTGCCTCCCAGCAAGAGCGTTCTGGGTTCGAATCCCGGGGGAACCAGGACCTTTCTGGGTGGAGTTTGCATGTTCTCCCTGTGTCTGCGTGGGTTCTCTCCAGGTTCTCCGGCTTCCTCCCACAGTCCAAAAACCTGCATGTTAGGTTGATTGGAGATTGGGGAAATTGGCCTTAGGAGTGAATGTGAGTGTGAGTGGTTGTTTGTCCTTGTATGTCCTGTGTGTTGCCCTGTGATGGACTGGCGGACTGTCCAGGGTGTACCCCGCCTCTTGCCCGTTGACCACTGGCTCAAGTTCCCCCCGCGACCCCAACAGGGAATAAGCGGTATTGATAATGGATGGATGGATGGGTTGGAGTGCACTTCAGAAACCCTCATTAAGGGCCGCAGCTGTAGCCTAACGGGTACAACGGGCGGATCATATGTGGCGCCTCTGCTCGATTCCAGCCCATGGCCCTTTGCCGCAGGTCTCCCCCTCTCTATCTCTGCCCCCTTTCCTTTCCAGCTACTGTCATTAAAGGCCACTAGAGCCAACAAAATATTTAAAAAAAAAACACACCAGGGAAATGATTTCACAACTTGTTGGCAATATGATTTTCTTGGCATAACATCCATCTGCTTTTCCTGTGTTTTTGCAGCCATGTCTGATGTAGAAGAGGAATACGAGTGAGTGGAACAAAATCTGTCACTACTTATATTTCAATACCACTTACCTCACCTCTTTGTGATAATATGTCACTTGTTTTACTTCCTTTTTAATCATTCTGCAGGGAGCAGGTTGAGGGTAAGCTCATGCACACATATCTCATCCCTTTTGTTACCACAAAATAACTGTTGTGTTTATATATTGTTGTGTTGCTCTGTGGTTTTCCCTGTTGAAGTTGAGGAAGAGCAGGAGGGTGAGCTGGAGGAGCTTGATGAGACTGAGCAGGCGGAGCAGGTGGAGGAAGATGGAGAAGGTATGGTTTTGATGAAAGCCAGCGTCATCTCTAGGCACTCTGAAATTACAATCCTTTTCAATCCTGTTTGAACCCATGTCATTCTATGCAATCATAATCTAACCAATTCCAGTTAACTGAATTCCAAATTAGTCCAATTCACATAAAAAAGGGGGTAAAAGAGCTAATGTTGTACACAATGAAAATATGTTATGGTTGATGCATGTTGTTTCCTGTAGTCTGAGATGCTCTCTAAAAACCTGGAATATGTTCACCCCCTCTCCTTCATAACTTTGTGAGTTATGGTTAAGGCACTTACCTATCAACTTATCCTTTATCCTGCTTTTCGAATGGCTGACAATGTGCCGGTCCGGGCCATCAGAGCAGCAGGAGTACCAAGGTAAGATGAATGCAACCTTCTCAACTAATGGAGGTGGAATGTTGTTTTATGCGTAGGCTTATGAAAGAAAGGGGACAAAGACTTTAAACCAAACTTGGATTCTTCTGTGCATTTTAAAAACAGTTACAAGATACATAAATACATAATTGTTTAGCATAGGTTTCCTCCTGTTGGTATACATTTTTAACATGTTTTCCACAGCTTTTGAGATAATATATTCTGCTGTTTTTCATCCCATTAATTTCAAATAGTCATTTTAAAGGTGCAAGAACTCAACATAGATCTTTCTTAGTGCTGATGGTCCTTTTGTGTCTCCTCAGCCTTGGTAGATACACTCTCAGCCGAGTGATGTAGTGTTCTGATGAGTAAGCTTGTGAGTAAAAAAGCAGGCCCTGAACTCTGTGTGTGTGTAAAATAGTTTTAAGGCTTTGCATCCTCCTCAATGTCCAAAACAGGGCAGCTTATGGTACAGGAGTTGTTGCATATCTGTACCCATTGCCTAGAAAGTGTTTCTTTGAATGAGCTTAGTGTATTGCTTTCTGCCTCCCCCATATAAAGGTAAGCCACAATAGCAGGAGTCACTAGACATCCCTTGACATAGCTGTCCTCCTGTCTGTAGAAATAATCACTGTATTTGGATTACGTAGTGAAAACAGGTGATAGCGACTCTAATCACACACACTTTGTGATCACTATGTGATTGCTTGTATGCTGACACTGCCCACCATGTAGTTTACCACTGAAGAAACCTTTGAAATAAAAGGTGAGATGTTTTCAAGATTCTAAAAGTCCAGGTGCCCTTAATTAATTTCTTAGGATTCCTAAAATATTAGTCAGGAGCCAAACAGCTAAATCTCTGAGGAGGGTCAGATCACATCATCAAATCACTGACATGTTATCGTGCCGGCTAGAAAGGTAGGGGGAATGAAAGATGAACAACTGAATTTGAAAGGACTGGCAGTACATAGTTTCCTTCTGTCAGGCTGGTTCTTAGTGTTCCATCCCTGTTAGTTCTGTTTCTACAATGTTTTCTTGTATGGAGACGTACACGTGAAGTGGCTAAACAGAGAGAATAACTTTGCACTATTAATGGCATCCATTTTTCAGTCATGTCACTGTCTGTGCACAGTTGTACCGTACCTCTGTAACACCATGCCTCCACCATAACAAAGTGCATTCAGGAACAAAGTGCATTGACTGTTTGGACATCTGTGTGGAAAATGCAGGAATCCAAGTGATTGATATTGTTGCTTTGAATATTTTTTTAGTTTAAAATTTTTTACACCGATTGGTAGATTTGGCAAGAAGCCACCAAAACTTATTTAACAAGGCAGAACTTGGACTGGGAAGAGCAAAGCTAATGTTCCACACATCCACACCAGTTATAAGTGGACAACAAAGTTTTATAATATGACGTTTGTGGATGATACCTCTGAGACTAACTGTAGATCTTTGGCCTTAATGTTAAAGTTTAAGTCAGCCTATAATATGAGTATCACTCTTTAAGAATTTTAAAAGTTTACATTCTTATCTACCTTTCAGTATGTATAAAATGCAATGATGAATTTTCACAGAATGTTCCCTCAGACTGCGTTCTCTTGCAGTTAGTGGTATAAAGCAGTGCCAGCGATTGTTTTTCCATGGTGGGAAACTATGGTGTTTAAGCAATATTCCAACATTTTGGAACATGAACTTTACTTTAAAGCTTGGTAAGAGAACTGTAAATAAATGTATATGTAGCCATTGAAACTTCTGTATAAATCTTTGAAAAGTCTCATGTTCCTCCAGCTGAACGCAATAACTCAGCTTGTATTAGCAAAAGGTGCAAATGACCAGCTTGATACAAGCACACCTGAAATTATACCACTATAAAATCTTAAGCTTATCTTATTGGGATAGACGGAATATAAGAGTTTTATCTTCAAACTCTTTCCAAACAAAACACATAAATGTGTGTTTCAAAATGTTGAACTATTTCTTGAAGCGTGATGCTTCTGTTGGATCAACAGAACTTCAATTTTGTCCTGGTCCACCATCTCTTCTCACTTCCATATCTGTTTCCTTCTTTCCTCTTTCTTTTATACTTTTGATTTCAATCTTTTATTTCCTCTTCTTCTCCGATGCTTCACATTCATATTTCACCCATGATTAACAACTACTTTGTCATTTCATGGACTGTTTTGTTACCATCCCTGCATCTTTCACTATGCTTTTATGTGACTCATCCATCAGATCAAGATGCCCAGGAAGGAGGTGAGAAACAGTACTTGTTTTATTGTTGGTTCTTTTCATTAGGATGAGATACCCTTTTCAACACCTCCACACCACATTTCCCAAGCTAATAAACTAACTTATTAAATATACTTTTGTAACAAAAGCACCTATTATGGAACAAAAGCACCCATTAACTTTTTTTATTTTTTTTACTTTCTTCACATTTCTAGGAAAGTGTTTCATCAAAAATGATGTGAAAAATGTATTGGGAAGTTTGGAGGGACTTGTTATGATATCCCCACACCTTGGTTTTGTCATAACTTTGAAAAAATAACCTGTTTCTATTTAGTCCCATGCTTGTTTTGCCTTCAATAAAACTAATAGTTTTTCTTAAATATGTGCCTATATATATGAGTAAAAGTTTAGTGTCAATCTAATGAAAATATTTAAATCCTTTCATCCGTTTTGACTCATTTTTGTGTCCTTTTCTTGACAGAGGAGGAGCGTCCAAAGCCCAAGTATGTTCAGTCACCTTTAAATACAGTGTGTTTCACTACAGTCATCTTATGGTTTTCTCACAATTCTTACACTAAAGGTTCACTTTCTTTTCACCAGGCCTATGGTTCCCCAACTTGCTCCTCCTAAAATACCTGAGGGTGACAGGGTAGATTTTGATGTAAGTAATGCCACTCATGTTGAAATAATTATACAGCATTTTAGGCCCTTTTACACTTCTGCAATTTGCAGTTCCGTTGTAATTCACTATTAGTCACGGCTCTTCAAGATAGATCTTGGAAAAGGGAAGAAATTAAATTGGAATCTTCATATACATTTTTTCATGAGGAAGCTTAAAGCCACTCATGACGCAAAGAAGAATTTATTTTGTCTAATAAAAACTAAAACTTCAAAAATGTCAAAGCAGTTTAAGCAAAACCATACTTAGTTTGAGTTTTGCGATGTTCAACTTCTAGATCAAACAGTTGTGTAATATATTACAGTTACTGGTCAGTTGCTGGCCAGCAACAAGTTAATTGTCTCCACATGTCTGTTAGTCTAAACCAACTCTAAATCAACTTGGACATAGTAAATGTGTATAAAAAGCACATTCACTTATCATATTTGCAAAAGCCTTCGGGAGCTTTTGCCCACATTGGGACTAAGGACCCAATGTGATAAACCCATTGAGGTTTTCATGAACATGGAAGCTTTTCTGTCAAGAAAACCTTGACAGATGAAATGTGTAACAATGTGCAAACTCAATATTCACTGCATTACTGTTCCACAATCAAATCTTTTAACACTAGAACTACCACGGAGGGGTCAATTGACCTTTTTACCTAAAAGCCCCACAAGAGGGTCATTTGACCCTTTGGACCTCATGCGGACACTCCTTTTGTTGTGGAAATGTGGCTGTTAGCAGCTCATAGCTGTCACTTGAGTCACAGAGTCGCTTGAGCCTGTGTGGGGAAGGGAACCCCAAGGCAAGCTTTTAGTACTGTTTTTAGTGGATTTTTATGCAGTGAATCATCAGGATCAACGAGAATTTGGGATCAAAACTCTAAACATTTATTGTTAAAAAAATACAAAACAAAACATATTTACAATGAATGCAAAAGCAACTGTTTTCCCAGTTTTCGTGTGGAAGGTTGTGGCACAAGTAACTTATTTTTGTGTGCCAAAAATAGAAGAAAAAGAAATTACAAAGAAAAAAAGCATATTTACAAAGAATGCAAATGAGTGAAATACATTTGAGCAGTCACTAACAATTCTGGCACTGCCATTGCTCCTTTCGGCATTTCCCACATGTGTATTTGTAACAGTCATCACAGCGCACTGTTGCACGATTGTCCTTGCATTTGATTTTAGCCTGACACTTGGCTCTTTGTCCGAGTTGTGGTGTGGAGGGTTGTTGCCGAAGCAATTGCTCCTTTTGGGCCTTTTTCATACCCACGTGGGAGTGAGCCAACTCTCTTGCCAGTTCAAACAACAGATTCCAATCACTTTTGACAACATTACATTTTATGAACACAGTGTCAGAGACTTTAAAGAGGGACAAACTCTGGAAAAATTTAGACAATGGCTTGAGCGTCCAATCACTGCACTATGGAACTATTGATTACACTATGGAAATACTGACTTGAAATATGTCTCATCTCTTTTACTTCTATATCTCTATATTATATCATAAATGTATCTGTCAACACTCTTTCCTGGTCATGTTAATCTTGTATGCCTCAACTGACCTAGTATGTTTTTTTGCACATTTTTAAGATGTTTTCTAAGATGTTTTAAAATGCAAAGATTCTTCTTTGACTTCCGTGGTAGCATATCTTCTCAAAATAATTTTTCTCTGATTTTGTAAATTGATCTAAGAGCAGTAATTTGAGAATAAACTACCCAAGTAATAGAAACATGTCTTTACTTTGATAGGACATCCACAGAAAACGCATGGAGAAGGACTTACTGGAGCTGCATACTCTGATTGACGTACATTTCGAGCAGAGGAAGAAAGATGAAGAAGAACTTATTTACCTTAAGGAACGAATTGTGAGCTTACTTTCATTTTACTGATCAAGATTGAATTTGAAAAATGTTTGAGTGCATAAAGGCATTACGTTTTTGATAAAAGATGGTTTCCACAGGAACGACGTCGGTCAGAGAGAGCTGAGATCCAGAGGGTTAGGGCGGAGAAAGAAAAGGACAGACAGAACAGGATTGCGGTAACAAACGCACACAAACTTTCACACGTGCAAACATTTTCAATTCCCGTTTAACACATTAAATAAGGATGACCTTCATATGATTTCAGTGGGGGTTAATTACCATTAGTCTCTGAAGGGAAAATATATTGGTGTAATATTGAGAATTATCAAAAGTATACTGTTGTTGTTGTAACTTTAAGAACATAAGCCTGTGCTGATGTTACTTGCAACCATTCCAAACAATTCTATCCATGCCTTTTTTTTTATTCAATTCAATTATATTAGTTAAATTCAGTGGTGCTTAAGTAGTCCATAAGATTCATAATCTTGTTGCAATGTACAATATTTCCATAAAGTATCCATATATATATATATATATATATATATGGATCCAACTGTAAGCCCTTACAAATTTTATTTCGGGTTTTACCCAATGTGAAAATCCATCTTTTGACAAAAAAAATCTCTTAAAACCTCAAGACGATGCAAAGAAAGACACATTTTAGGATCTCAAAGCTGTGCACATATATATATATATATATATATATATATATGTGCACAGCTTGGCACATGACATCATACATCAGAATGTAACTTTTCCATTTTATCTGCAAGCGATTCCATGCTAATAAGCTGATAAAGACAAAAAAGGTTTAAACCTTTTCTCAATTTAATTTAGATTCTGCATTAATGAGTCCTCTAAAATTTTATTTCGGGTTTTACCCAATGTGAAAATCCATCTTTTTACAAAAAAAATCTCTTAAAACCTCAAGATGATGCAAAGAAAGACACATTTTAGGATCTCAAAGCATTATCATGGAGATGAAGCTGTCTGGTTTGGGAAACCTAGGTTAACATATCTACTTTTAGCAAATTATGTGATTGTGCTGGCCTCTTTCGCCAAAACCTTAAGCACACAATGGAGTGAAGTGGTCTGGCAACTCTTCCAAATTTAGAGACCATGGTTGTCAAGCAGAAAATGATGGAATGGCCCTTTCAGATTCAGTAAAAGTCAGTGCCCTAGGTGGAGAAGTTGAAGTATTAGGACGTGTTAACCTGTTTCTTTAGTTGGAAACCTGAGAATAAACCATAGTATACCAAAAGTACAAAAATAACATGTATTGGACACAGTTAAGTACATCAGCGCTGGGCTCTTCACAGACAAAAACCTCTCTCTGGGTCTCAGTTGGCAAAGAGCCGTGAGATCTGGGTGTGATGGACATTATCTCCTGGGCTCGGTGCACCTCTTCAAAGGAGGACTGGACATAACCAAGTCCTATTGGCCAGTTACCTCTGGGCATAAACAGGCCAGGTCCTTATTCATGCAGATGACATTGGAATGTGGTGACAAATGGTGTGTGTATGTGTTGACCTAAAGATGTGGATCTAATGCAACAGAGAAATAAAAAGAGAGAAAAGAGAGTCTGTAGACACAGCCAGAGACTTTAACACAAAGTTATAAGTATAAAAGGAATAAGAAAATCAGTGATTTACATAGATCATGTTATAGCATACAATGCTAAAGTGAGTAATTATAGCCACATTCTAACAGCTGGCCTGTTCCCAAATCAGGGGGAGGTGGATGGATAGATTGTGACATTGTCAGATGTAATATGGGCAGAAGTCCGAAGGTGCAGCTTTTTTAATGAACTAGTCAACCTATATTCAAATCCTCACCTGTGTTATCTGGCTCATGACTGAAAGAATGAAATCATTGATACAAACGGGTGTAATAGGTTCCCTTGGAGGGTGGCTGGACTCAGCCTTAGGATTAGTTTGAGGGCATCAACCACTAGGAAGGAATTCGGATTTGAGCTGCTGCTGCTCTCCTCCAGCTACACTGTTTGGGCATCTGGTTTAGGTGCATTCTAGTGTCCCCCAGTGGAGGGTTTCCATACACATGGTACTGGAGGAATACCCTGGTGCAGACCTAGAGCTGGATGGAGCAATTACATGCCTAATTTGATCAGGATCACTCCGGAAGAGGTGGAGAATGTCACTGGGGATAGGTGTGTCTGGGTTTTCTTTCTCATCCTTTCAAAATCTAACCTTGGATGAGCGGAAGAAAATAAAAGAATGGGATTCACATATCTATGATTTGACAAATCACATGACTTTTTGGCAATCTTTTTGTATCTTGTAGGAAGAGCGTCACAGAAAAGAAGAGGAGGAGGCCAAGAAAAAGGCCGATGATGATGCCAAGAAAAAAAAAGTTCTGTCTAACATGGGAGCCAATTTTGGAGGATTTCTAGCCAAGGTCCGATATCTGTTGCTCTCATCTGCTGAGATGGGGGCAACATGCGCACTGACTGTGGAATGTTTGTTTCCAGGCTGAAACAAGGAGAGGTAAACGCATGACAGGCAAAGAGATTAAAAAGAAAACTCTGGCTGACCGGCGGCAGCCTCTAGAGACTGACAATTTGAGGGAGGATGGCCTTAAGTGAGTTTCTTCTCATCAGTTGTTCACACACATATCATAATATTGTTGTCTAAAGCTTGAACCAAAGAAATGCTCAATGAATTAAAAATTTGGTATTTTTCTAAATTCTCTTTGTTTTTCTTAGAAAAAGGGCTCAAGACATGTGGAACTGGATCTACCAGCTGGAATCTGATAAGTTTGATTTTATGGAGCAGATGAAACACCAGAGATATGAGGTAAGTTCATCTGCTCAAGTCATACACCTATAAATTCAGCTTGGATTTCAATGTGAGAAGACAATAGCATACAAAAAATAGGTAAAAGATTCAGTAACCATATGGTCCATTTAGTAAAAATGTTTCATGAGAATATATTTCATATATCTTGATGGCATTAAACTCAGTGCTGTTAAGTGTACTAAATGTAAATAAACACCAACCAGTCACCAATGCAACATCCAGTCATGTGTGGACAACCTTTTTGTTATTAGAGTATTAAAGTGGAACAATCCGAGGATTTAAGAAAGATCCATTAAAGCCCAACCCCCAAATATTTCCTTTTTTAAAATCTGGTTTTGTGTAAATTGGACATTAATTCACTAAATAAGTGTACAACTAAATTGAGACTGAACTGAATCTGTACTGCAGAAAAAAAAGAAAGAAAACTGCGACAGATAATCATTTTTATCAGAGGTTGTACGATTTATTTTCCAAATTTCAAGCAATTACCCTTTACTGGTCTCAGTACACTTTGGCCCTTTTGCATCGGGTCATTTTTTGTTCTATTAATTCTCTGAATATTTAATTGTTTTTTTAATTATTCAAAATATTGGTGAAAATATATCTCTTTCAATAATTTACTTAATAAAAGAGGCAGTGCGGTATATAATATAAGATCATAGTAATTAATAAAGCATTACCACTATTTCTTATCAAGTTCTTTGTTCTTTACGTAGATCATTGTGTTACTGAACAGAATCCAACATGCTCAGAAATTGTGAGTACATTTTTTTTTTCACTAAATCTAACATTTTCCCTTTTTAGTTCTTTGTGTCGTCGCACTTCAATGCTGATAATTTTTCTCCATTTTGTCCCTCAGTAAAAAGGTCAAGGGGAAGGTGGGCGGTCGCTGGAAATAAAACACAAACAATAGGATTTTGGAAACGCATGAGACATATTGGAAACTGTAAGAAGGAAATGAACTAGCCCCAAATTCTGCAGGCATTTTCTTTTAAATGAAAATGTTGTCTCTTGATAAAATAAATTGCCAATAACTAAACTCATTTGATGAAGTTTGGAGTTGTTTTCTTTTTGTTTGTTTGTCTTTTCTTTTGTCTGTTCCATTTTATTGTGTGCGTGATGTTTTGAAATGGTAGAAATGCATAAAACAAGACAACATAAGGCAAATGTACTTGTTATCACTGGTCAATGAACATAACCTTATCTGTGAGCAGTGGCGGACCGTGCATTTCACACCTAGGCCTTCAGTAGTGTTCCGTCTGAATCAAGTCACCGCTCAATAACTATTTTATGGTTATAGAAATCATCTTACAATGTAGAAATACAGTAGGGATGTCCCGATCCAACTTTTTGTATTAAAGTTGAAATTTATCTTTCTACTTACTTAGTTGTCAGACTCATGTTGAACAGGGATTTACTCTTATAACAACTAAAGTTTACACAGACCTTTAGGTTAGGAGAGGCTAATGCTAATGCTAATGGTCGGGTGGGATCGGACTTTTTAAAAAAATGGATCTGGAGTCTGGATCGGCATTTTCTCATGCCGGCCGATACGATCCAAATACCGGATCGGGACAAGCCTAAAATACAGTCTAAAGATCAGGGGGGCACAAAACCCCCCCCCCCCCCCCAAAAAAAAACAAAACATCAATAATATCCTCATAAACTCGCTATATTATTTAGGAAAAAACAACATTTTTTTCACTTACTTTTCTTCAAAAGTCCATCTTGAAAATGGCCTTGACAGTAAATCCACCACCAAATAATAAAATAGCTATCACAAAAAAACAACTATATTTCAGTTTGTTTGCTAGCTTCGCCCTGATTGGATATCTGACTATCCAATCAGCGGGTGTGGATACGGTGACGTTACGTAAGGCCTTCGAGCAGGCCCTGGCATCACCAACCTAAAATCTGATTGGTTGAAGCAACAGTGTACTGACATGTATTTTCTGTGGGGGGGGGGCCTGCAGAATGGATTGTGAAGGCCTCCTGGCAGACATCTTTGACTTTGACCCTGCCTAGCGACAAAGGATGTCTGAAATGTGATTGGTTAAATGTTTTTATATGAAAATGCATGTCTGGAAGCAGCGCAACCAGGGGAAAAGCTATGAAAGGAAGCTGACAGACTATTTAGAGATATTTAATAAGTTTCCATGGACAAAATATAATTGACATCAGTCTGTGATTCAGATATTTTGTTAGGCCTGCAGAGAAGGCCTTGAAGGCCCTGAGGGCCCACCACTGACTGTAAGGATCTTCTGAGATAAAAAGAAAATGCTAAGTAGTAGCAGAGAAACTGCAAAAGAAAAATGAAATTGCTCTTCAAACAAATGCTTCCAAATGTGCCAAAATCACATTCATTTAGTGGCTGATAACACTCATGGCAGTTTTAATAGTGGCACACAAATGGGGGTTTTCATTACTACCTACTCAGCTCTACCTGCCTCACAATAACTTGGTATAGACGATTTGTCATTAAAAAATAAGGTTTTAGAAACTTGCTGTTGATGAATGTTTTCAGCATTTATAGCATTTTAGATTATAGACTTCATTCAGATGTTTTGAGAAAACAAGCCTAAATTAGTATTTTTTTTCCTTCCATCCTGAACTAAACTACTTTAATCGACTACTTAACAACAAGAACAGTAAGTAAAGGGGTCGGATTCAAATGTCATTATTAATCAAGCTATTTTTTGGTCTAGGAAAAATAAATTTGGCTGTTTTATGTAAGTGTTTAAGAGAAATGTACAGATATTAAAATGTTAGAATTTGGTTGGGAAATGTACTTATTTAATTGCATATTCCATGATCATTTGCTTCTTCAATCCATTCTTCCCATAGCAGTCAGTTTGAGCATAATCAGCTGTTTTATATCCCAAGATATTATGGTTACATCCGGCCAAAATGATGCTATAGCAATACAGTTCAGAGACCTGACCTTGATCTTCAACAGGGTTCCTTTCCAGCTTTGATAGGGTTTGGAAGCAAAGATGGCTCTTTTCTAGTCAAGATGACCAGTCAACGCGCTTGCTCAACTGATCAAAAGTTGAAGACAGTTAAAAGCCTTTAAGAGCCAAACTTTGTGAAAAAGTTTGGATTCCATGTCATTTCCTGTCAGGTAATCACATTTTCAAGATCTCTTGATGCCAAAGCCAAATACGCTCATCATCGTTGAACATGTTAGGATTGTTAAGTTGCATAAACAAGGCCTCTGACAACGTGCCATCGCTTCTAAGGTTGGATGCAGAAAGCTAGTCATTTTGCATTTCTTAAAAATTCTCAGGGTTAAGGAACAAAAAGATCAAGGGGTAGACCCAAAATATTCTCATCAGCGCTGAGCTTGAGGGTCCAAATGGCTTTCCGACAAGCCATGGATCCTCATCCAAAAGTAATGCCATTTCTGGTACTGACTATCAGCCCAATAACCATCAGACAGGAAGGGCTTCAAAAACAAGCAACGGTCATGACTGAGGGCCCTCGTCTGTGTAGTAATGGCAGTTTTTTTCAGTAGGAAACCCTTACAGTTCACAATGCCCATCTGACCAAGACTTTTTCCGAGAAAAAAATAACATCACGCTCATCTTACGTGTACCCTGATCTTAATCCAATTGAAAATATTTTGGCACGGATGGGAAGGGAAATTTACAAAAATGCACCCCAGTTCTACAGTCATGGCCAAAAGTTTTGAGAATGATTCAAATGTTAATATTTACAAAGTCTACTGCTTCAGTTTTTATAACAGCAATTTGTATATACTCCAGAATGTTAAAAAGAGTGTTCAGCATGCCAGCAATAAATTGCAAAGTCAATATTTGCCTAGAAAATTAACTTTATCCCCCAAAACACATTTCAACGTCATTGTTGCCAAAATGGCTCCAGGGCACCCAAGAAAGACCAGCAAGCGCCAGGACCGTGTCTTAAAAGTGTTTCAGCTGCGGGATCGGTCTGCCAGCAGTGCAGAGCTGGCTCAGGAATGGCAGCAGGCAGGTGTGAGTGCATCTGCACGCACTGTGAGGCGGAGACTCCTGGAGCAAGGCCTGGTCTTAAGGAGGGCAGCAAAGAAGCCATTTCTCTCCAGGAAAAACATCAGGGACAGACTGATATTCTGCAAAAGGTACAGGGGGTGGACTGCTGAGGACTGGGGTAAAGTCATTTTCTCTGATGAATCCCCTTTCCCATAGTTTGGGACATCTGGAAAACGGCTTGTTCGGAGAAGACGAGGTGAGCGCTACCACCAGTCTTGTCTCATGCCAACTGTAAAGCATCCTGAAACCATTCATGTGTGGGGTTGTGTCAGGGTTATCCCCTAAACACTTCTGAATTCGCTGCTGTAAGAGGACAAAAATAGACACAGACACAGTAAGTACAGTGAAAACTTGCAAGGAGAGCAGCTGTGAGACCTTACAATCTCCAACCTACTCTGAGGTCTCATGCTGCTCCCCTCTCCATTTATTTGGTTCCACTCTATCATAGATTTGTTACATCATCTCCTCCAAAGACAGTGGGGACACACATGTTTGATTGGACATTGTTCTTAATCACAGGATGCACTGATTGAACAGGAAGACAGCAGATGTAACAGGAGGAACAAAGTCCAGTTGTTCCTCTGTTTCAGTTGCCAACATAGAGTGTTGTCTTAAGGGTCACTACTGTGGTCAGCAGACACCATTATATGCAAAACAGCTTGTGCTTATGACGACACACTCCTGCCTACAGCACAAGCACAGGTAACCCAATTACATACACACACATATGTAATTCAGAGAATGCATGATAACTTATGGAACATTATTCTAACAGGTTGCCTCTCAGCCAAGGGAGTCGGCTCTCTCACAGTTTTACCTAAAAACACAGCCATGAATAAAGAATGGTACCAGAATGTCCTCCGAGAGCAACTTCTCCCAACCGTCCAAAAGCAGTTTGGTGATGAGCAAGGCCTTTTCCAGCATGATGGAGCACTTTGCCATACAGCAAAGGTGATATCTAACTGGCTCAGGGAACAAAACATAGAGATTTTAGGTCCATCGCCTGGAAACTCCCCATATCTTAATCCCATTGAAAACTTATGGTCAATCATCAAAACGAAAACCTAGGAATTTTGACAAAATTCAAGCATTGATTGTATTTCTGTATGTAATGACAACATCTGATATACACACATGAAAACCAGAGGGTAGCAGATCATGTGAAAATATAATATTTGTGTCATTCTCAATACTTTTGGCCATGACTGTAGACAGTGGATGCCCTTTGTGAAGCCATCTTCACCACTTGGAGTGACACTCTTGAATCAAGCATGCCAAAATTACATTTTGAAGCGACCTGCAATTATTGTGGAGCTACTCATTTGTTCGTCAGTTGAGACTTTATTTTCTGTTTTAAGAGGTTTTGGAGAATTTTTTGACCAGCCTATTTCAGTTTAATTTTTGTTTTCCAAAACCTTGCCAGCTCAAAACCTTTGGTCTCTTGTTCTTGAATTTTCAACACCATGGATCTTGATTTATGAGGCTTGGAACCCAAAGATTAAACCAATGAGTCATAAACAAACATCCACCCACTTCTGTAATTTAAAGATTGATATTTTGATAATGATAACAGTAATAATAACAGTAAGGAAATAACTTTTGTAATGCAAGCTAAGACTCTGAGATCCAGTTTGGATCTGTTTAAATACCATAAACAAATGCATCGCCTAACAATCCCACTTCCTTTCATTAGAGTGAAATGTTGTTTTAGTCCATAAGTTTGGAATTTGAGCACTGTCAGTAAGACATAAATTCCACAGCTGCTCAGTTTGCGGTGGAGAGGATGTGTACGGGCAGGTGCTAAAGCTGCCATGTAAACTCTGAAATGTTGCGTAAGACTGTGCAGGCTTTTGCTGTGGATTTTAGGTTCATTGGAGTTCATCACATCTGTCACAGTAAATGAGCAGATCCCACTCTAGTGATAAAAAAGATTTATCTTGTGAAAGATTTAACATGAGATAAAGAACAAAAAGGAGCATGAACTCAACTCTAAATGCTCATAGAATGTAATGGTTGTGGGGTTAGGGTTAGGGTTAGGGAGAACATGCAAAAGGAAAGGAACAAAGATTTGCTTTTACAGTTTCAAATGCCATGTGGGGTGCCACAGAGATCTTGTGAGCGAAATGAGTCCCCACTGCTAAATGAGTTTAGGGGGGAAATGTTATTGTCGTATTGTGAAAGCCATTTTGTTCTGATAATTTTTAAAAATCTATGTTCTTCCTCAAGTGATTAAATCCTGTACCTGAATGTTAATTAAAGAAAGAAATATTCTTGTGTTGAATGTACAGTTTTAAGTTATATAAATAGGACTGATATATAATAAATTATTATAGCTTTAGTTCTCCATGTTCTTGCTTTGTTTAATATTCTCACAAAAGTGTTTTCAGATTCTTAAGTTTTATCAACAGTACTTTTATTTATCCTTTAATCACAAAAAGATCCACATTCTTACTCTTTTAGAGAATCTAAATTTTAAATACTCATGAGTCCCTTGAATAAAAACATTCATTGTGATTTGAATTTATTTGCAAATTGTATGTGTCTGTTCTGAGGGACTTCATAAAATAGTTTTAAAAAGATTTTCCTGATAATAAAAAAAAGAACTATCTTGTGTTTACGGTAGTTATGTTTTCCACCCTTCCCCCCAGAGTCTGAGTCCTACCTCACATGTTTGGATCGCTGACAAGAGGACTCGGTGATAATCCAGACTTTCACTGACCACGCTGAATAAGCTCACACAAACGCAAACAGACACAAATCATGTACCACAAACCACTATCATTCTTCAGGAACAGCTGTGGCGGCTTTAGACTGTGAAGTTTGATGAAAAAAAAAGGTTGGCAGAATGATTAGTTCAAGGTTGGAGTCAGTCAGTTCAGAGTCACATCCTCACTGGTGGTATTAGTTTATATAATCTAATTTTGGAAAGCGTGATATCATACAGTTTATGGTATGGAATGTTATAATTTACTGTAATATTAACTCTAAATCATGAATTTATTTGACTGTGTGTTTGACTTTCATCATGTACAGATGAAAGAATATCAAGCAAAGCCATGTAGGCAAAGACACAAATCCATCTGTCCACCAGGCCATCTGTCATTTATTTCACACTGTGTGTGTATTTACAGTCACCTCATATGAACAGAAAGTAAAACAAAAAGATTTACATTTTTTGATTAAATATACAATACCACACGAACAAACACATACACACACTTTGGTGTGGACACACAACATTTTCCAAGCAATAGGTCCTTTCATCCAAACACAGATGAAGAAACATTATTAATAAGCAAAAACCTGTGACAAACTACAAGAAATACAAGTGGACTGGGACAGACAAGAGGAAAATGTCAAATAAAGTACAGAGGAGGACCAATATCTCAGCTTAAGAGTCATTTTTGGTCTGTGTCTAACAAAAAAGATCTGTTGGTATTTTTCCTTGTTTTTAAATGGGCAAACTGTGCACACTGATCTTGTTTTATCTAGAACATCACACTCTGACTTGTGGATTTGTTTTCGTTGATGACAAAGTATGAGAAAACACAGCCCGAGGCCTTTTCCATTTCTAGCCAGCAAAGGCAGCCAGAAAAGGTGGGTGGAGTAATTGCTGAAAGTGATATCAGTTGAAATATTTCAAGTACAACCTAAAAAAAACAGTCAGTCACATAGTTATTGTGATGAATACCAACGTGATAAGATGTCCATGGAAAACTGGGTAATAGATCAGCATGGCTAAGCCATCTTAGTCAGCATTTTAGATGAAACAATCATGATAAAAGGGGGTTTCTAAGAAATCTGGACAAAAATCCGTTTTAATCATTCTTTTTAACAAAGTCACTGTCGAATCAGTCAGTTGGTCTGTGCAGTTTGGGCATGCATAAGTACACATATCAACATTCAGTTGTAAAAAATAAAACTGGGCTGTGTTTATACCTGCTTATAAGCAAGTTTAAATTACGAGTTCAGTAAATATGAAGCCAACATACAAAGAGATCCAAAAGTGAATTGTTCCAGAGTCAACTAAGGATGGTGTGAAAATGATTCAAGCACAATGAAAGTAACTATTCAAGTTAGACCTACAGTGGTTTTGCTTTTTCAAAGAAGAAGGAAACTTCTTTAGTACAGATACTGCTGTGCCTATATATATATATCTATACATATATATAGATATATATAAAACGTGAAGTGTGATTAGCGAATGGGGGCCTTGAGAGCAGCATCCACTTCTTCCTCAGGCAGCAATGTGTGCCACTGGGCCACAGGCCGTCTAGGATTGGCCAGCATGTCTGACCAATGGCGGAGCCCAACACCTGAGGCCCCATAGCCGATCCAGCACTTGCCGATGGGATCATTGCTGCCCAGTTTGTCGTAATCATAGACTGTGATGAGCACCTGGATTTTCTGTGCAAGCAAGACAAAAGGAAAGTCAAATTTAGGGTTTGAAAAGATTTAAATCATTGAATAGTTGTAATCCTAGTAAACTGGATAAAAGCATCTGTACTTTGCCTCTATTCCAGTAGAGGTTTAAACTAATAGTGTTTGTTCTTTTAATTTTGCCTCCAAGATAAGTTATGAAATTTCTTCCGGATCCAGAAAAGTTTTTTTCCAAGTCGATCATAAAGCTAAACAATGAGTTCTTTTAGGGGTTCATGATTGTCTTATACTAACAGTCAGCCAGGCACCTGAAAAAAAGGCTAGGCTACATCTAGCTACTTATAATCTTGAATAAAATGTTCATTAGTATGCTTACATTTTAAAACATATCATTTGTTTTCCTCATGGTCATATTCATTTCTGCTTCAAATATGTATTTGTCAATTCATTGACAAATTCTGCTATAATATATTTGGATAAAATGTTATTATAAACATTATGTTTTAAAACAGAAAAAATATCCTAGGCGGACAACTTTAAATCCACACCTGATAAATCAAATTTCACGGTGAAAAGTAGAAAATGGTGGGAAGTACATACCTGGATTTGGGAGAAGGGGATCTCAAAACTAAAGCTCTCATTGAAATAAGGATTCAGAGTGTTTTGTTTGACGGTTGTCTTCTTTTTCTTGAGTCGCTTGCCATTGCACTGCAACACCACTTTGACAAAGGGATCTAGGAAAGAGAGACATGGTATCAGCCAATGCACATATCACAGACAATTACGACCTGTTACTTCACCAAGTATTCACCTGACAGTCCACCGACGTCCATTTTCTTCAGATTCTTGGCCTCCATGATGTTCACTGTCAGCTTACCAGCTGTGGGGACATAACGTAGGGAAATGCAGATATCCCCCAGCTTCTCTTGCTGTAGCAAACAGAAAGAAAACATGTTTTTATATTCTGTTTACAGTATAACACAATATTGCGTTATATGGTATCAGTAAAAACAGCCACCTCCTCTTTTTCTCCTCCAACCAGATCCTTCCATTCATGTATCGGTTGTCCAAGGTCTATACTGTTCATGGGGATTTTGATTTCACCGATGACATCGTGTTTACCAAACCGATCAAAGTCAAAAACTTGCAACACCAGAATTTGTCCACCCAACTCACTGTAGGGTATCTGGAAAGGAAATGTATTCATGTACATTAAACTAAATGATATTGTGCTTTATAACCTTTACCAAACATATAATGCGTGAAAGCTAAAGAAATACCGGTGTACAGACCTTAAAGGTGAATGTCTCATTGAACACAGGGCAGAGGTTTTTGCGCTGGACTTTGGTTTCAAACTTCTTTTTCTTGTCTGGCAGCATATAAACTTTCACATAGGGGTCAGAGGTCCCACCCATGTCCATAGCTGGAAGGTCCTGAGCCTGAAGGATGCCCACTATCAGCTGTAGGAGGAAGTAGACACTGAGTTGAATCATGATGTATGACAGATACAATGAGGACCAAAACTGAGACCTAGATAATAATAATTGTATAAGTGCATAAGCACCTGGTTATCAGTAAAGTTATAATCCAGTGAGTACTCCAGTTTGCCCAAGGACTCCTTCTCCTCTTCATCTTTTCCGTCCTCTCCGTCCTGAAAGAAATGCAAAGAATGTGTCGGTTAATGTTGATAAACTCGCATGTTGTTAATTTTTTCTCCTGTAATGAAAAGTTTTCATGAAGAATGAAAAAAAAATAGCCATTAATATACAATAAATTTGCGTTAAAGGTCTTTATTGTTATGTATGTGCTAAGAGTTGCATGTCGGTAGTGTTAAATGGGAGAATTAAATTAAATTTGTTTGTTCCACTTAAGCATATTCCATCCATTATCGTTTATTCTGGAGCCAATTCCAGTTGTCACTGGCCAAAAGCCAGACCTCGGACAAGTCGCCAGTACACCACAGGGCCTCTAAGAGATAGACAATCACACACGCTCACATTTATTCCTATTTAGGATCACAACTTAACCTAAAATGCATATTTTTGGACTGTGGGAAAGAGAATCCATAAGGAGCATAAAGATTCCAAAATAATTTCTAACCACGACAACACCATGTCACGCCACAGTTTTCGAATAAAACTACACAGGTCTACAAATTTAGTAAAACTATATGTACTCCCTATTGATGCTTGGAACCACTGGATAGCAGCTCTGGCTCCAGCCGTTTTCATGGCTCTTGTTCCCATTTTAAGTATTCAGCCATTGGTCAGTCAACCAATTTTTTTTTGTCAGTTGTAAACTCTAATTGTCTTTTTATGTGTACTTCCATCTATGGACTCATGCATAGTGTATATAGTGATAAACATACTTTACATTTTAGTTAACTTAATTTATGTTTCAATGCAAACTTCTTTTCTCTTGTAAACCATAAATCTCACTGAATTAAACACTGGAGCAGCACAAAGCTGTAGCCAAATTCAAATGCTGCAAAGAAAAGATAAAAGCTGGACTTGCAGCACTGGTAATCGTCTCCCTTTAAACATATTAATGAGCAATATTCCCCATTTGTATTTGTGAGCTAATTAGCTATTGGATTAATATATTTATGCATGATAATAATAAATTATCGCTTTCAAAGGAATTTTTTAATTAATCTAGATAGTAAAAACATCTTATGATCTTTCAGATTTGAAAAATTTGTCAGATACAACCCTCAGATTAACAACACAAGTGGAAATCACTATGAATGTTAATTGATGTTCAGTTAAATGGAAGCTAAGACAAAATAAAGGAGAACTGAGAACAAATTAACTCGCATTAATACTGTATAATAGGAATTAAGAGGATAAGTAAGGTACTGCTACCCAGATGCATTTGGCTAATATAATTTTTCTCAGTTTGATTATTAGATTTGAGGTGTTTGTAGCCTATCAAGTCAGATAGACATCAGCAAAAATCAGCAATTGCTCTTTTTCTTACCTTCTTATCATCTCCATCCTCTCCATCTTTGTCCTTCTTCCTGCGCCCTCGTCCTCCTTTTCTTTCACGGACCTTCTTGGGTTTCTTGCCTTTGTTGAAGCACTTTTTGTAGATGCAGAATATCATACACCCAACAAGGGCAAGGACTACAACCACGATGCCTCCCACAGCCCACATGGGCACTGAACAGAGGATTGAAAACACAAGTGAGGTTGGTGCTGCTCAAACTGAAAAAACATTTTGAAAGTATTTACATCTTTAATGGGGACAAAACAGAATCACATTCAAGATTGCATATTTTCATTACATTAGTTTGAATGTGACAAAAATCAAGCTACAAGACTATTCCCAAATGACTAGGAACATCACGTGGGAATGCCAATTACCAATGTTAGCGTGTGGACAAAAAACACTAATATTTCAGTATTGTCTGAAAGAAATCTTTTGTGGATTTCAACATTAGTCTAAATTATTTCTCCTTATTTGAGCCTTCATGCATTCTGCAAAATAGGTTAACAAAATATGTTAAAGCAAGTAGATATCTCTATTAACAATGATACACTCTGGTACTGTCTCCTGCACTGATGCCAACACTGAAGAATAATACACGTGAAATCCATCAATTTGAAACATAAAAATATGCAATGAAAGAGACAATGGACTTACTCTTGAGTTTATGATCTTGAAGAGTAGAGTAGATTGGTCACATGAGGTGGATATGAAAAAATGAAGATGGAATGAAAGCATGGTCAAATGATGATATGATGTGAAAAGGGAAAGGCTTGAGGGGAAGGGAACAACCTGGCTTTTTGCATCTAGTTTATAATGTACAGTCTGTTTAAAGATGATACCATTTGGATTTTGTCTTGCACCTAAAGAGAATGTACATTTATTGAAATAGGGTTAGGCTTAATTTTTGTTCATTGTGTATAGAAAGCAGGTATTTTATGGCATGTGTATTCTAACATATCTCCTTTTTAATAAACCCAGTTCTGAATACAATTGCCTAATTAATTGTAATCATCGCAACAACATCTTTTGCCCATATGTTCCATTTAAAAAGGACCCTCTGTATATTTGTGGTTTCTCACTTGGCAGGTGTGTAAGCTCATTGAAGAACTTATTCTTCATGCTGGCAAACTGGTGATTGGAGTGGTGTGAGGGAGGTTGGGGAGGTGGTCGCTCCCTCTCCTCCTCTGCTGCCCTCCGGAGCCGGACTCCTGCAGCACCGACCAATCGCATTGTTACCCTGAAATATCAAAGTAACAAAAAAGGACTGGTCAGTGTTGTAAAGTTGTTGGAATTCAACTTTGAAAGTTGAAAGTCAGCATAAGATGATTCCTTTGCACAGGATTTTAAAACAAGATGAACTGTTTTGTGAAGACTTGCATAAAATTCATGTGATCACTCACTGTTATTTATTCCAATAATAATATATCAAAATCTGCAATTGTACAGAGACGAACCATTTCTGTGTAGTCCATAGTAGGAGCTTCTTCCTCCCCCCTTTCTCTTTTTTCAAAATGTTTCCTTCTGTCATACCTCCTTCGCTCAGACCTTTAATTTGGTTTTAATCTTTTTAATCCTCTCTCTCACTCCCCTGCCCCAGAACAATCAGAACTCCTTCATTACAAGCATTCCTTTTCCCATTGCTTTGCTTCAAAGTATGCAAAATCATAGTCCAAACCAAAGTTAGTCAAACCTTAAACTTAATACACAATAACAGACATAATCAATATGGAGCGCACAGGATTTATACCAAGTCCCAACTGTCATGTATAGTACTTAAAATAGACTTTGCACAGTTCTGCCAATTGAAAAAGGATCTATTCAAGGTTTCTTTCACTTAACGATTTTCTTTCTTGACACCAGGTAAGATGCACGGAAAAAAGTGAAGAACATAAGTGATTTGGAATGACAACAAAGTTAGTTCCAAATATAACTACCCAGTAAAATTTTCATTCCCATTAGATAGATAAGATATACATGCTTGGTAGGTCATTTAAGTTTTTTTCCTAAAACAGTAGAAAGAAATCAGATATCATTAGAGTCATTTATTGGAAATGTGTACTTCATGTTAATACAAAATGTCTGCTGTGATATGATCAGATACTAGATAATTAGAAAAACCAGCAAGTTAACCAGCTGGCTACAAGACTGGCTAGCCTCAAGTTCAAATCACCCCGAAGAGGATAGTGAATATTATCAACCACAGGAGCTTTATTGTTCCTTATCGGTTGCACTTTTTGAATATGTCTTCATTATTTGAACATATCTCTGCATTATTTGTTGTTTTAATCTGCCAGGACAGAATAAGAACTGGCTTCTGCAGTTTACTGGCATTTTTAGCAATAGCATAACTGGTCAAATCGGATGTGTGGGTAAAGTTGTGCACATTGCCCCATTGCATTCCATACTGGAATTAACAACACAGCAATCCTGACAGAGCTAACCTAAATATAGCTGTCTATATAATTTACTCCTGCGCTTCTTTTGTGAAATGGTTTATCTCTTGAAGTAGATGCCATATGCTAGCAAACATATCCCAAACTCAACAGCCTATTGACGTGTGTAGAAATCAAATACACAGAAAATCTGGAGTTGGGAATAAAATAATGACATTTTCAACTTCTGATAATCATTCCTTTCGCTCCATGATGTTTGTGGCCATTAAAGAATTCCATCTGTCAGTTGGAGCATTCACATGCAAACAGTGATATTTAAGCACTCACACACACACACTCAGTCCCCTCCCATGCTGGGCTCCCTCTGTCACTGCACTGCCCTTTAACAAGATTAACTGCTGAAGGTAATCCAGAAATCCTGGGCTTAAATGAATAGGGACAGTTTGCCTCCCTGGGTTTCCTCCCCTTTCCCCATCCATTTGGCCACTATCTTCTTCCCGTGTCTCCTGAGCCTGTCAAGCTCTCTCTCAAACACCTTCCATCTGATCAAGGTTTCCAGCACACAGATAATCACCATATTTTCACGATTATTTTCGATTTAGGTGGAAGGATTTGCAACACTGACCCTTGATGCCCTCAGACTTGATATGCAGGAGATTAAACAGAGTGTGATTATAAACAGAATACACAGAGAAACTACTTTCAATCAGTGATGACTTTGTGTCAAATAAATACCAGATGTAAAATGAAATTATTAGATGATCTTATCAAGTCATTATCAACTTGCACAATACACCTTTTTTCTTTTTCATTCATGTCTATTGCTGGGACTGAAGGCAGCCACCTCCTGTTAGGTGAAAGATGGCAAAGTGGTGCTTCAATTCTTGATATGCAGAATTAGATTTAATGCACATAAAAGCAAAAATTACAATAAAAGAATAATGTTTAAATGATTATTAATGTCTCCAAAAATCTGCTTGGCACATTTGAATCATGCACGAGTTGTCTTTCTGTCCTTCCTTGTGTGTGATGGCATTTAAAAATAGTTTCTAACACTCTGTGATCAGTAGGGATAACCACTCATTGTTTCTGGGTCATGTTAGATTCAGGCTGAATTCCAGCCAAAAGTTGACATTGTAGTAAGATTTCTAGTCAGGAGTTTGTGGTTCTGAACCAAATTTCCATTTTTTTAATCAGAGATTCACATTTCAGATGGAGTACTATTATCTTGAGACTCGTCAGAACTTTTCAGCTCTGAATGACCAAAAGAAAATCCACATAGACATCAGCACGTGTCAGAAGTAAAAAATCCAAGACACTGAACCGAACCTTTTATTAGCCAGTTACTAGGGGGCAGGGCAGCTTCTGGACAATTAAAAAAAATCTCCCATCATGCTAAATCACTGTCATTGTCCCATTGTGTGCTAAACCATGCACCAAATAACAGCCAAACCTAATTCCTTTTTTTTTTTGTCATGCACTGCCAATTGCCTAATGATGATATTAAAAACAATAATAAAGAAAGCAGAATAAATAGTTGAACATTAACTCCTGGACCCCTGATTTGAGCAGGACTCATATCAATGTCTTGATAAATTGAGGTGTGTTTTGCTGTTTGCCGAACTTTTACATCTGTGTAATCATCTGGTCAACGTTTTTTTTTATTTAAATATTTTGACTTAATGCTCATCAGCACATGGTAGCATTCTGTCATACTGAAATGAGACCATGGACATGGTGAAGAACATACTTGCAAAACATGAGCATGTTAGCATCACATCACATCACATGGTCCGTAAACAATTAAATGCCAAGAAGCCTCAGCTAAATGACTCAATGAACTATAGGTTAGGTAAAATAAAATACAAGTTCCAAAGCATTTAATTCAAGGCCAGCATTTTGTCGTTATCTATGTACGTTTTCAAAAACAAAAGCAAGGCATCCTCTTAAATAAAGGTATCTTCCTAGTTATCACAAGCTGTTATTGTAGATGCAACACTGTTTTATCACATCTTAAAATTCAGACTTTTCTAAAAACAAACTGTTGAACAAGCATCAATGCTATTGTTAGAAAAACCTCCTGAACACTGACAGATGCAAAAATATCTCTGTTGAACAGGTTGTCCACCTTCATACACAGTATATTTTTAATTCACAATTAGCATTAAGCACCATGGTATTCTTCGAAAGTTTATTAGTGAGTTATTATCATCATCCATCAAATATGAGGTGAGACCCGTGAATTTAACATGAAAAGCTGCAACTTTCTTCCTTTACACTGAGCCTAAACATAATTTACGGAAGTCATAATTCACTTTCTGGACAGCTATAACAATAATCGAATAATCTATTCAATCTTGCTTCATCAATCATCCATATTTGGATTATAGATGGTCAATCTGAAAAGTGTAATATTATTTAAATTATTTTCCTAGGAAGGGAGGATGGCTGAATATGAATGGATGAATATGTCTGCAAGTGCCTTGAGATGGTAAATATTGTGATTTGAATCCGTACAAATAAAAATGAATTTGATTTAATTTAATTGAGCAATCATGGTGAGGGGAGCTGATATTTTTTTATTTATTTTGGGTCACTCACATTAGGCCAAAGTAACATGACCTGATTTAAGTGAAAGCTTTGTGATCAGAAAAATATATTTTTTTAATCTAGCTGATATTTCAGCATTATCTAAAGTAAGGTCGGGTGTCACCTCTGATAACACTGGACCAAAATTAAATTGGCAAAACCATTAGGAACCCTATCATTTGCCTGTAAATATAAATAGAAAAAAGTATCACAAATATGTAGCTAGCACATACACATACAAGTGTATCTTCTGTTATAAATACTGCAAACACAAATAATAATCTGAGCTAAAACCTTAGATTATAAAAGGAAACTGAGCAAGAGTCTTCTAACAGTGTTTCAGTATTAATTAAATAGATTAAATAAAAAACAATAGTATCCTTAGAGATAAAACTTTAAAATGCTGCTTTGATTCAAAAGGTTTTATAATACTGTACTCCAGGCTTCAAGCTCGTTGCAGGTGACTTCACGTGAGCACAGAAACAGATAGAGGTGCTTTAGCTTTTAATAATCCAATTTAACTAATCTCTGTCACTTTGAAACATCCAACGCGAATGTGCCGTATACATATGTATATGATTTTCTCGTGGACAAACCAACCTTAGAGAGAGGTGTAAGAATTCCACACAATCGGAGTTTAAAAGTAAAATCTGATATACTAACATATGTGACCATGTGACCATGGCCACTTCGGCACAGATTTAATGCCTAAGCCGTGGGTCAGCGTGGGGATATACACTGCAGCTTAAACTGAAAATAAAAACAAAGGTTCACTCTTCCACGCTTATTCAGTGCAAAGCTTATTTTCAGTTTATGTTCATTGTAAATTAAAGACCTGAAAACTTTTTAATTAAAAACATTTTTAGAAAATAGAATTTTTGTGCCACCGTATTGGCTTTGAAAATGAATTAGCTACAATAAGTGATATTGGAAGAGTAATAAACAATATCACTCACCCTATTTAGTCTCAGTCCTTTTGGTTTTTTGTCCTTTATTTCTCTATGGCGTGCAAATGTCCTCAGCCACAAATCCACCACCACTGACTGATTGGAAGTTGTTGTGCACAACTCTGCTGTCCTTCTCCCCCTCCCAATCCTTCGTTAATCTTTGTTACATCCTTTCTGACTTACTGTCTGCTAACGCAGCCAGAAGCTCAGCTTTCAGAGCAAATTGGCTACCGACAGTCACATCAAACTTGATTTTTCTCCTTCTTTTTTTCTTGTTCTTCTGCTGGAGTAAATGATTTTACACCATTGAGAGATCAGTTCATTGTTTGAGTGGAGCTTGCAGAAACAGATTAACATCTGTAAAACAACTGTTTGCCTTGCCAGCAGTCGCTCCGTGTGTGCGTGGTCTGTCGCAGCACCATGGACAGCAATCCACCAACCCGAGCTGATGGAGGACTCAGGATAGGTCTGATCTTAATTAAGGTCTCGACCCATTAAGAGAACATAGGCACGATCCAGTGGGTACTGCTGAGCTATTTTTAGCCAGTGTCCAATATGTCTACAAAGCTACAAAAAGTTGTAGTGATCTGCATTTCATGTTTTTATGACAAAGTTATCCTTCCTAACTATATCTAGAGATTTGAATGCTAAAAGTGAATGCATGTTCACAGAAGGAGATTGAGTAAAAGTCAGGATACTTTGTAAAATGTGAATATAAATTGAATTAAACTACATACAGATCTCAAAGGCTGATATTTAATTGGCAATAGATAATATAGAAATATATCATTTCAATATATATCATATCAAGATGTTTTTTAACGTTATTAAAATTCACAAGACACCAAGGCTGGAAAAGAAAGTAGGACCCAATAAGAAAAAGCTTGAGGAACACTTTGTAAATAACTTATTAAAATGACCGTAGATCAGTGGTGTGGGTAAGGTATATTCAATTCAATTCAATTTTATTTATATAGCGCCACATCACAACAACAGTTGTCTCACAGCGCTTTCCAAACAGACCAGGTCAGACCCTACTCTGAAGTTAACTACAGAAACCCAACAATTCCCACCATGAGCAAGCACTAGGCGACACAGGCAAGGAAAAACTTCCTTTTAACAGGCAGAAACCTTGAGCAGAACCATGGCTCAGGGTGGGCGGCCATCTGCCTCGGCCGGTTGGGAGTGAGGGGAAAGAGAGAGCAAGAGAGAGAGAGGGCGAGAGAAGCACAGAGGGAGCAGAGAGAGGCAGCCAACACAGCAACACGTAGACTAGATTAAAAATGGCAATGATATTAATGCTAATGATGAGCAGGAACACTGGGGCAGCAGGAAACTCCCAACCACAGATCCAGACTCCACAGCTCTAGGAACACCTGCAGGAAGTGATAGGAGGAGACTCCCAACCACAGATCCAGGCCCCACAGCTCCAGAGCCAGGAATATCTGCAGAAAGTGTTAGGAAGAGAGAGGAGAGAGGAGGGGGACGAGAAAGCACACGACTACGAGGAAAGGAGAGAGTCCAGTTAGTAGCATTGTTAATGGAATGAGGTTGCACCGGGAGGGAGAGAGAGAAAGGAAAGGGGAGCTCGGTGCATCATGATGCATCCCCCGGCAGTCTAGGCCTATAGCAGCACAACCAGGGGTGGACTTACTCTAACTATAAGCTCTATCATAAAGGAAAGTCTTAAGCCTACTCTTAAATACAGAGACGGTGTCTGCTTCCCGGACCCAAACTGGAACCTGGTTCCACAAAAGAGGACTCTGATAGCTGAACACTCTAGCGCCCATTCTAGTTTTCAAGACTCTAGGAACTGCCAGTAACCCTTCATTCTGGGAATGCAGTTCTCTGGTAGGGCAGTAAGGTACTAAAAGCTCTTTAAGATAAGATGGGGCCTGACCATGAAGAGCTTTATACATAAGGAGAAGGATTTTAAATTCTATTCTGGATTTAACAGGAAGCCAGTGCAGAGAAGCCAAGACAGGAGAAATATGATCTCTTTTTCTGGTTCCTGTAAGAACACGTGCTGCAGCATTCTGGATCAGCTGAAGAGTCCTAATGGACTTTTTTGAAGACCCTGATAACAGGGAATTGCAGTAATCCAGCCTAGAAGTAACACATGCATGGACTAGTTTTTCTGCATCATTTTTACACAGGATGCTCCTAATTTTTGCGAAAGAATGTGAAAGAAGGCGGTTCTTGAAATTTGCTTAATGTGAGAGTTAAACGACATGTCCTGATCGAAGATAACTCCAAGATTTCTCACAGTGGTGCTGGAGGCCAGGCCATGCCATCCAGGGAAACTATATCTCTAGATAATGCGTCACGAAGGTTTTTAGGGCCTAGAATAATAATTTCAGTTTTAGCTGAGTTTAACATTAGAGAATTTCAGGTCATCCAGGTTTTAACATCCTGAAGGCACATTTGAAGCTTAGCTAGCTGATGAGTTTCATCTGGCTTGATCTATAGGTATAACTGAGTATCATCTGCATAGCAATGAAAGTTGATAGAGTGTTTCCTGATAATATTACCTAAAGGAAGCATATATAAAGTAAAGAGGATTGGTCCGAGAACGGATCCTTGCGGAACTCCGTGGCTAACTCTGGCATGCATGGAGGACTCAACGTTAACATGCACAAACTGAAACCGATCTGATAAATAGGACCTAAACCAACTTAGAATGGCTCCTTTAATGCCGATGAAATTTTCCAGTCTCTGTAGTAGGATCTGATGGTCAATGGTGTCAAAAGCAGCACTAAGATCTAATAAAACCAAGACAGAGATGAGTCCTTTGTCTGATGCCATTAGGAGGTCATTAGTAATTTTCACCAGTGCGGTCTCTGTGCTATGGTGAGCTCTAAATCCTGACTGAAAATCCCCATGTAGATAGTCACACAGCTGTTTGGCTACTGCTTTCTCCAGGACCTTGGAGATGAATGGAAGGTTGGATATAGGTCTATAGTTGGCTAAAACATCTGGGTCCAGGTTAGGCTTTTTCAAAAGAGGCTTAATTACAGCTACTTTAAAGTACTGTGGCACATAGCCTGTTAATAAGGACAGATTGATCACGTCTAGCAGAGAAGTACCGACTAAGGGTAGGACTTCTTTAAGCAACCTAGTCGGGATGGGGTCCAAGAGGCAAGTTGAAGGTTTGGATGAAGAAATGATTGAAGTTAGTTGACAAAGATTGAGGGAAGCAAAACAGTCAAAACATATAACTGGTTCTGGTCCTACAGTTACTGAGTTTAAAGATAAGTCGATGCTAGTTGAGGGCAAGCTGATAGCTAGAATTTTATCGTTAAAGAAGCTCATGAAGTCATGGCTAGTGAGAGCTATTGGAATACTTGATTCAATAGAGCTGTGGCTCTCAGTCAGCCTGGCAACAGTGCTGAAAAGAAACCTGGGATTGTTCCTATTTTCCTCAATTAAAGATGAGTAATATGCTGCTTTGGCATCACGGAGGGCCTTCCTATAAGCTTTAAGACTATCTTGCCAAGATAAAAGAGACTTTTCCAGCCAGTTCTTCTCAAGTTTCCGATATATCTGCTTTAATTTGTGGGTTTCACTAGTATACCATGGAGCTAACCGTCTTTGTTTAAGTATTTTCTTCTTTAGGGGGGCTACAGCGTTAAGTGCTGTTCGCAGCGAGCCTTCAACACTATCAACAAGATGATCAACTTGGGAAGGACTGAAATTAACATAAGAGTCCTCTGTTTCTGTACGACTTGATAATGGATGTAGAGCTGATGGAATCACATTCTTAAATTTTGCTATAGCACTATCAGACAGGCATCTTGAGTAGACATTTTTACCCAGTGGAGGGTAATTCAGCAGTAAAAGCTCAAAAGTTAGCAAACAGTGGTCAGATAAAGACGGATTATGTGGGAACACTATTAAATGTTCAATTTCAATACCTTATACCAGAACAAGGTCAAGGGTGTGGTTAAAACAGTGAGTCGGTTCATGAACACTCTGAGAGAAGCCAATGGAATCTAACAGAGAGATAAATGCAGTACTGAGGCTGTCATTCTCAACATCCACATGGATATTAAAGTCTCCTACAATAATTACTTTGTCCGTTTTAAGGACTAAAGTTGACAAAAACTCTGCAAATTCAGATAAGAATTCAGAGTATGGACCGGGTGGTCGGTACAATATAACAAATAGAATAGGTTGCAGTGATTTCCAGCTTGGGTGGGAAAGACTCAGAACAAGGCTTTCAAAAGAGTTAGAGTTCAATTTAGCTTTAGAGCTGATTACAAGACTGGAGTCAAAGATAGCTGCAACTCCACCTCCTCGACCTGTGCTTCGAGGAATGTGAGTATTCTTATGACTGGGAGGGGTGGATTCATTTAGGCTCACATATTCTCCATCACCCAGCCAGGTTTCAGTAAGACAAAATAAATCAATCTTATAATCTGATATGAGTTCATTTACAAGCACACCTTTAGAATAGAGAGATCTGATATTCAAGAGTCCACATTTTACTCTCTTATTTGCATGCACTATTTCTCTTGTGGTTTTAACTTTTATGAGGTTTTTATAGACAACTCCTCTGTTTACCCTTAATTTTAAAAAATTGAATGACCGGGGGACCGACACCGTCTCTATAGGTTTTTCACTAAGTAACTCCTGGAATGGAGGAGCAGAGAAGAGGGTTACATTACAACTCCGCTTCCTCCTCTCAACCCTGGACTGTCACCGATCTATATGAGACCACCTTTAAGATGTAGAGTCTCTTTGAAGAGAAGAGATTTGGTAAGTTGAAAAAATCCACATTTACAAAATATTCAGAAACATGTCTTTATATGGAAGACATGGTTGAAAATCAAGACTGGATGTTCTTATTTTTTTTAAAATAGAAATATTTAGTAAATCAATACAAGGGCTCAGGAAAACTGTCATCCACAGATACAAGTTAAAGCAACAATAGAAGCTTAACCTTAAAAGTAAGTGCTTCAGGCTTTTTAAAGCGAATTGAATTTTACAATGCATATTCAAGGGGCTTGGTGCCCAGTAACAGCTTTGGTTTCCACCTCTGAATCACACCAGTTTTCTTGACATGTTGTCAGCTTACGATGGTATCTTTTTGGCCTCTTAGACGTTACAATAAATCAGTGTTTGGGGATTTATGCCGAAAGGAATGACCGTTACATTTATTTGGTGGTACTGATGTGACAATTTACAAATACAGGTGGACCCAAATAACATTATGTTAAGGCTCTATATTAAAAAGAGGAAGCCATTTGTAAACACGATCCAGAAAAATTACCTTTGAATAAAAAAGGGGTCGATGTAAAATGGAGAGTTTTTCTGTGGATGAAAAAGAGGAGCCGTTATTGACACTATGTTCAAACACCTTAATCTCTAATGGCTTTGAAAAGTCATTTTGGACATCTAGAAAAGGAGGAACCATTCAATCATGAGTTTTTCACATATTGTGAGGTAAGATTGATCTTGAGAATTTATGATTCGCAAATAACTGCTTTCTGCTTCTTTGCAAGTATTGAGCTTGTGTTTTGGTACATTATCTGTTATCTATTCAGTCTGTGGTGTGAGGTGAGGTGATATGGAATCACATTTGGGATTCAGTGTAGTACTGAGCCTCTCCAGCAGATGGCAGTGTCATAAAACAAATCCTAAGAAGAACTGTGAACAAGGAAATGTTTTGCCCTTTTGCTACTTTCTATTTTCACATTTAGATTCATATTTAATCTAATTTTGTCTTTTAATAGTTGGTAAGGTTTATGCCTAAGCATATGAATGGTCCTAGAAGATGCTAAATGCAAAGTTGGCAGTCTATCAATAAGTAAATTATCCACAGGAGTAAGAGGCAGAAGCCTAAAATGCAACATAACAGTTGCAAATTTACACAAATACCAAAATGCCTTAATATTCCAGTGCAGACATTCTCCGGTTAAAGAACAAGTAAAACAGAGACAAATGCAGCTCAAAATGTTTATTTAGATTAAAAGACAGCCCCAGCAGGGAATGTATTTTTTCATGTCAACCTGATGCTTTAACATGTTTCATCATTTAAGGAAAAAAAAAAATCGTGCTCAAGGGTTGAACAGCAGAAGAAGCACGTTAAGTTTGATGACTGCTTTAACATTTTCATTCGGGCATTTTAGCTCTTCCCACCCATGGAGTGCTTGTCAAACAGGTATTCGGCCATCTTGTTGTTGTGTGCATCCATGCGGGTGAGGTTGGTGATGTAGTCACCCAGCTTCTTGATGGCCTCCACTTGCTCATTCAGATAGTGAGACTCCAGGAAGTCACACAGCTGAAAGGAGACAGTTTGTTCAGTTTGGTAAAAACCCAGATACTTGACGCGTCAGGCAAAATTAACCGCTTCATGCAACTTACATGAGGATCTCCATGATCGGACGCCAGCTTGTGCAAATCCAGCAGAGCCTGGTTGACGTTCTTTTCCAGCTGCAGGGCACACTGCATGGCCTCCAGACCACTTCCCCACTCATCACGTTCAGGTTTCTACAAAACAAATTCAATAAGACCAACCGAACACTCACCAAGACATTCAGGTTATCTGGCACAAATGTGTGCAATAACAATGACATTTACAGTTGTTTGTCTCATTTAACCAAAGGGTTTACAGACCTTGACATCCTGGAAGAAGATGCGCCCTCCTCTCTTGTTCTGGAAAGACAAGAGCTTCTCGGCATGTTCCCTCTCCTCGTCACTGTTCTCCTTGAAGAAATGGGAGAAGCCTGGAAGGGCTACATCGTCACGGTTGAAGTAAAATGCCTGTAGGGGGCACAAGAGAAGAAAAGCTACTCATTAGAACAGATAGCCCATTATTATTTGGCTTAACCCACTGGACAAACAGTAGTTATGGAGGCTTTCGGTGGTCAGGGATATCAGTCAGTTTGGAGTAGATAACTGGTGTGGAAACATGCAACTAACAATGACTCAGCAAATTGGCTACTGGAGTAAGACACTTAGTCTAGCGTCAGGCCAGACAGGTACATGTGAAACGCATTACATCTAGGATAGAAAAAAAAAAAACATGTTTTAAAAATATATATACAAAAAAAAACAACAAAAAAAATAAAAAACGCATTTGCATAGTGCCTCACCCGATGAATATATGTATAACGACGCACAACAAATATACATTAAACGTTTTCTTACCATTGAAGTGTAGGTGTAGGAGGCAAAAAGCTCCATGTTAACCATCCGGTTGATGGCGGCCTCGCAGTCACGGTGGTAGTTCTGACGCACTTGGGACTCCATTTTGGCTGTTTCTCGTATTTGTTTTTTTTATCAAAAACGGTACAAAAATAGAGCTTTACGTCAACTTTTTCAGTAGTGTTCAAGTAAAAAAAAAGGTTTTGAAATTACAGAATGCAGGGCCAACGAAAGGAATGTTCGGATGTAAGGAGGAAGTTCCGTTCAAACACTGTTGAAGCAAGAACTCAATTCTCAAATCCGGGTCTGAAACAATGAAGTCGTGCTCCTTGTATTTATATGCCAAGGAAGACCTCGTGACCAACATGACGTCACTCTGTAAATTTCCACCAATCACTGAGTTACGAAAGAAAATTGTAAGCAAAGTTGTCATTTTATTGAATCTTACTTGCCATGACGATGCAATTTTTGCATTTCAAGAGACGACAAACCTAGCTATTCTTTCATTAAGACATAATATATATATATTTCTCAAACCTTTTAAATGTAATTTTGTCTGACGTTACCACAGTCATGTTTGAAAAGATATGTCAAACCCCAAACACAAACTGATGAACTCTTGTGCCCTGGCACAAAACTACCATAAATTTAACTTGTTTTTAGCTGAAGCTCGCCGTGTGACTTCTAAAACCTAATAATATGCTGTTTACAACCATCATGTTTATTGCATTGCATTCCACAGCAATGTGCAAAACACAACCTTGTATAAAAACTCAGAGACTTTTAAACATTACTGAACTTGGGACTCATGAACTGAACTTAATTTTTCTTTATTTTTCCCTTTAAGGGTGTCATTCTAGGGAAAGTACCAGGCTAGCAGTAGAGCTAGTTTTACAACATTTTAGCTAGATTGTGCGCTGTAAAGTGCAAGTCATGTGTTTTATAACTTGAATAAGTTATCATGCTTCATTTATCATCTTAATCTTTAGGAAACAATTAAATACACTGTAGCATTTGCTCTTATGTAGTCCTAAACAGCCATAAGCTTCTCTTCATGTCTGAAAAAAAGTCAGTTTTTTTTCTCAGCATGTGTGAAATAAAATGGTTTTGCAATACGCTGATAAAAGTACATTGCCCTATTGAAGGGGTTGTCTGTATTCCATTTCATATGATATTGGATTTCACCAATAGTTTAACTCCAAGTTAAGATGAAAAGGTTTGCTTTGTTGAGCAAAAGGGGATTATGATTCAATTGTTTGTCTTTTACTCCCTATTAAAAACTTGATTAGAAAGCTTACAGAAAACACTTATAATTAAGTGGGCTTATTCTCACTATATGTTATTCTCACTATAACATTCAGCAAGTGACTCAGCAGTTTGCCCTGTCTTTCTGCCTGTATTTTTTTCCATGTAACTTGATAGTGCTGTGTCATGGCTGTGACTCAGCACTTCTGTACATCACGCTTCCTGTTTCTTCGTTCTGCTTTCATGTGAGTGACTGTTAAAGCAAGGAAAACTCGTGACAATAGAATCGTTGACCTCAGCGATTCGCCAGCTGGAACCAGTTGGGGACAATCCAAAAAAAAGAAACGAAACTGGACATGGTTGGTGACTGTAATAACACAGGGAAAACTGTAATTAGCTACCTCTTACTCCACCCAGGTGCCTGTAAAAAATCTCTTTCGCAACTCACTGTGAAGCAGGTTGCTGAGTCAGACAATGATTGTCCACTATTCAAGTCTAAACTAATGCCTCTGTCTTAGCTTTGTCACCTTTGGAAGGACAATAATAACGGACTTTGTTATGAAAGCAATGAGAAAAGTTAACTGCTAATGTGCTAATGGTGGTAAAGCAAATGTCATGCAACAATTACTAAGGCTGATTATGTAAACTTAATTTAGTGTATTAGCACTTGACATTTTGCAACAAAATACAACTGCCAGCAAACTAACCATTTCACCCAAAACCAAAAAAGTTGTAGATTGTTACAGCATACAAAATATGTATGAGCGTGCAAATACTAATGGAAGGCAAAAAAAAAAAAAAGTTTTAACAATGACTTTCAGACTGAGAAACTCAGGGAGTTGCATTATCTGGAAACAGATCTGAAAATAAATTTTATTTCACACATGGACATTGACTTTCAGTTTTCACGAGGAATGTCTGAACAGAATTCGTTAGGTCACGATGTATCATCCAACAGTAATAAAGATAAAGTACATAAAATGTTTATAGTTAAAAAAGAAAAAAGAAAAGAAAAAAGAAGCAATGAAAGGTTATGCAATATCTCAAGTTACGGTATCACAAGTTTTTTCAGACAAGTTGTTAATGTGGCCACCCTGGCCCCCTAGCTTTTCTTTACTAAACAAAGTCTACAGGATGACTGTATTCCAGAAGGTCACCATCTAGAGAAATATTTATCGTAACACACTCACTCGCATGAAAAAGTTCAACGTCGACAGTCAAAACGGGGTAGGAGGTCGGCATAGGAGATCCTCCAAAAACAAAATATTTAGACCACATACATTCACAAAACTTAACATAGCGTGTAAGGCAGTAAGGTTTGAGGTTACAGTGTAAGCTAAGAAAAAGATCTAAGTAAACCTGGATTACGTAAAGTTAAAGCTGTAATTGTGTCAACTATTTTCAAGACTTTATATTATTCCGTGAAAATGTCAAAAGCAACCATGAAACAATACAACTGGTGAGTATCGTAACTGTACTTAGTAAATTAATAAAAATGCAAAATAATTGAGGTACAGTTCTGGGAAAAGTAATATTTTCCCCTGAAGCATTCCAAGAATTCTGCGTCCAGAGACTAGAGAGCAACTCTGATGGTTTTGTGATTGTATTGCACTTGCTACATTAAAACTTTTACTATTCAATTACAGAGAAGGATCATGTAGGGAGTATTCATCTTCATATCATGTTTGTCATTTTTAAATGAGGTACACAATTTATAGCAATAACCAATAACCGCATATGATCAATGACACTTCGTCTTTATCATCACAATAAATTGTCTATTTTAAGACACCCTGTGACTATCAGGAACACTGATTGACTTATTATTATTATTTTTGGACAGATTTTCTTTTTTTTTGCCTGCCTGCCTCTGTCTCTTCATGCAGTAGGTATCCACACACTCTTCCACTGGACAGCATTTCTCCACAATTCCTCTAGGAGAGAGGGATGAGACTGAGACCAGTCTATCCCTCCGTCTTTCCCATCCTCATCCTTTTGACGGAAGAGTCGCAAGGTTTTCAGGGGGCTAGTGCAGGTGTGCTGCAGGTATTGGCATCCCTGTGGAAGGAAATAAGAGGACAGGAATATAGTTTATAAATGGTAGAGCTTGGTTGTAAGTGTTCTTTTTTAGTCATAGTACTTTCAAAATACTTCTTTGATTCCATTTTTAAGAGCTCATTATGATCACCTCGGCACTGCCCCAGTACCAGATGGCTTTGATGACACTGTGAGTGGCAAGAGCCACTGTCAGCTGGTCTCTACTTCCGGTAATGACGTTAACCAGACCTGCTGGCAGATCTGATGACTGGATCACCTGAGAAGAATGAGGAAGAGCTGAACCTGCCATAAAGATCAAATCTGCTGGCAACAAAGTGTGTGCGATTGTTTTCGACTGCTGTCCTTATTTTTCAAACTAATAAATCCTAGTAAATATGCTTGAAATGAAACCCAAAAAACAAACAAACTGAAAAGGAGACATCTAAGATAGAGAAAAATTAGCAAATCAAAGAGAAGAAAGGAGGAAGTTTTAAATATTTTTTTCTTTGATTATTTTGGGGAATGTGGAATCACTGGTAAATGGAAAAAAAACCTTAATACAGTATTAAGCGATTAACTGAGAAACAGATTAAGTAACAACTTCCTTAATCAATGCCCGTCTAACCCACTTTCGGATTTAACAGACAGGGATCAGGTGCTTCTAAAAGTCAAAGACGTATCTTTAACATCTTTAACTAAGATGTTATATCATCAAATCTCCCTAGAGGAAGTCCTAATGTGCAGCACCCTTCATTTGTTCCACAAAACTTTAAGGATGCTTTCTTTGTATAATGGGTCTTTCTGAGTAACGTCTGTCTTATGGTGGGAACGAACTCATTCCTGTTCAAAAAAGCCAATAATAAAGCTAATAATAAAGAAATAACATTGTAAAATCTGCAGCACTCCAACTCTCAGTTCCACTGAGAATAACTTTTGATACATTGACATTGCTGTTAGCTGGCATCAAAGCACTTTATGGCGAGAACAAATATGGACTGAAACTTTGTTGCTTTTAAATGCACTGATAGTGACCCCTTTTCAGTGAGTTACAGCCTTTTGCAAAGAATTATGAGTGTTTTGAGAACACTGAGGATGTATAGATGCAGCTTTGAAAGATCCCTGAGACGAGAACACTTTTGGTGTTATTTGATGAGAATCCTAGAAATGGAAGCTGTTCAGAGTCGCTCCTTGACTTTAAGAAACATGTTGTGTATCATGGACATTCTCTCTAAAGACCCACTGTTTTATTCTGTTTTCTTTCTTTTTCACCGGGAGATTAACTTATGCAAGAAAATGTATGTACATATCAGAAGATTGGTGAACAGGAAATGCTTTCTACATGGCTGGAAGTTTCACATAATTTTTTTTGTTTGAACAAAGACAAATGAAAAATTCTTATTTTCATGGAATTAAAGTTAGAAACTAAAAATGTAACATTGTCACACTTACTTGAATGAAAGTCAAGGCAGGCAGCGGATACTTTTGACTGGGTACCATAATGACTGCATTGCCTGTGGCGATGGCTGCCCCGAGAAGTGTTACCATGGAGAGGAGGGGATTCTTGTCAGGTAAAACGACCCCAACAACTCCCAAAGCTTCAGGTATAGACAGAGCAGAGCCAGACTGTGGCATGGGCTGAGGGGGAGGAGGAGACCAAGGGAATTAGCAGAGTGAACTCATCTGGCTGATCCTTGCCCAATACTGCAGGGTATTCTAATGTCTTAATAAAGTCTCACCAGAGATCCACCTTGCACTTTGTCACAGTAGGCCCCCCAAATATTGAGCCTGACAATGCTCATCTCCACCTCCTTGTCGGCCTCGTCTGGTGAGGTGCCCGTTTGGGTGGTGACCGAAGCGGCTATGGCTTGCCTCTTTGCCTCCAGACCCTTTGCCAGAGAGTAGAGTGACTGAGCACGTGCAGACTGACTTTTCTTCGCCCAGCTATAAGAGACAGGGGGGAGGTTCAGAGAAATTAAATAGCACACATGCAGTGTGACAACTAAAATGAAAAACTAAAAGTGTGAAATGCTGAAACTTTAAGCTATGGCCATAGGTTTATACAATTGAACGAGGAGTTGTCTTTCATTTCAGTGCATTCAACTTTGGTGACACTAACTTGTACACTTGGCTTATTCTCGGCAAAACTGTCCTCATTAGCTCAAGAGTCGCATTGGACTTTGGCTGGCGACAAACAATAGAAGAACACCGGATTGCGAAATACCTCACTGCCTGTGTGTGGTCAGAAGGCCTTTATAAAATCACTTTTGTGGAAGTTTATACCTTAAAAAAGTTGTTTTTTATTTGTTGTTTCTGACACAAGGACATGTAAATTAAGGCACAACCAAAACAAAAAACAAAACAAAGCATTTGTTTGTAATTGGGTTTGTTTGTGATTTATCAACTAATATGTTGGTGCCATTTTAACCGTGATACCAAACTATACTTTCCTCTACAGTATGGCACCTGAAAAGTTTTAAACTAGATGTTTGTGTTTGTTTTATATGTAGTTATGAAAAAATTTTCTTTGTACCGTTTGAATCAAGTATACAGATATTTAATATTGCTGATTATCTAAAAATCTGAACAAAGCCTGTCAGAGCTGTTTTCCTCCACAGAGACCTTTAGAGATAATAAATCTGAATGAATTTGAAAAGAATTATACAAATATTGAATTATATATCTAAAATATAACCCTTTACCAAGTGAATCGTTTTTCTTTTTCAAATGCAATCATTATTTAGTTTTGTTGAAGAAAGTTTCTTGTTAGAACATATGGAAATTATCCAAAGAGGCCTCTGCTTTGTGAGTACATGATTTTGTTAGACTTTGGTCCCTCTGTGCCTTTTTTGTGCGACTGTTTTTCTCATTTTCATGTGGCAAAGCTCTCACCCTGGCTGAACTTTGATAGCAGCCTCCACAGCATTACGCACGTCTTTCCGGCCTCCATCTGGACAGAAGGCTAACACAGTGTCGCACCCTGGTGCCTGCAGGGGGAAGTTGGTGCCGGACACAGATTTACAAGCTTTACCAGCAACAAACTGCAGGTAGGTTGGCGGAGCACTGAAAGGAAACAAGAAAGGCATAAGGCAGGATTAATTTTTTAAATATTTTTTGAGCAAGCAATTTTATTTGCATGGTAAAAAGCGTTAAAAACCAACTTGGAGGGGTCTGAAGCATCAGGAATGACAGGTGCCGGGACTTCAGTTCCAAAGTTTGAGTAGTTCATCGATATCGAAAGAGAACGAGGAAGAGGAGGGCAAGAAATGGACGGGCGGAGAAACTGGTACAGGCCCTGATAGGGAGCAGAGATAAATAGTGGATATATAATACCGATGCAGTTTTATCTATGGATCTCAGGCAAATTCATCAGCACCACATATATAAATATTTAGCACTGTTTTATGATCAAAGATATTTTTGTTGTCACCTTTAAATTAAATTAAATTCATTTAATTTACAATGTTGCCTACAAACAACTCTTAACTAAATATTGTACCCGTGTTACTACAGAGAGAGCATTATAAGCAGCTGGTTTGTAGATAAACTTCTTAAGACTTTTTAAAAAGGCCAACGAAGCATTTTTGAGCTAAAGACAGAGCTTATATATTTTTGTTTAATGGCCTAACAGGTGTCCCCTGCAGCTGACACCCACCTCCCGTCCTCCATCTGTGCAGGTGCCGCTGTCTTTGTGACCAGAGACGGGGAGGCAGGGATCATACACAGAGTTCGAATTCACCCACACGAAACCAACTGACAGGCTGCAGAGAAAAAGACGAAGACGCCATCGGGGAGGAGAAATAAGCAACTCAGCTCACAAAACGTTATAATATTTAGTTAAACCTGTAAAGACAGGAAACGACAGGAAACGGAGAAGGAACACAGAGGACAGTAATGCTCATAGAAAACAGGAAGGAAGACCTCACTATAGAACAGGTCTGTCAAAGGTTAACTAAACAGTGATGAAATGCTTGTGTACCTCTTAGCTGTCTCCAGAGCCAAGGTGAGGTCTTCAGTCCAGATGGATGCTGCAAAGCCATGTGGACTGTGGTTTCCTGTGTTTGAAAGTATAAACATAGACAACACAATTAAACTAAACCAACAGATCCACCATGTTGTTAACCCCTCCCCTCATCACACACACACCACTTTTTCTCTGATTGTATTACCACAGCAAAAGAGCAAACCCGTCAGAATTCTTTCAGAACTAATGCATCCTTGAATAACATTACAAACGTAAGCAGAGTTATCAATTTAAAGACTAAAGAAAAACTCCCACCTCTTTTCAATGAGCCTCCCTAGAGTTCTACAAGCTGTACAAACTATTCTACGTTTTTTTATTTGTGTAAAGTACGTGATACCTGTAACATGGACCATACCAGCTAAAAAAACAATGGTCTTTTTTAAAGTAAAATTTAAAAGGACTGTTTCTTTTCCATCATAGTTTAAAGGTTCTCTCACCCATGGCCACTGCTTCTGAGTTGGTTCTGAAAGTCATGAGAGGCAGCAGCGGTCCAGGGCCTGGGTTGACCACGCAGGGTGAGGAGGGGGCTGACCCACAGAGCACAGTTGGGGGATATTGTGCACCAGAAGGGGGGGCAGCACAGGACTGAATCAACTGAGGGGAGAAAGATAGACGAATAATGCTCTTGATTCAACCTGGAAACAAATCAAACACCTGTTGCACACATATCTTTTCAGGCGACCATTTTAAAACCCCAAAAGATGGATTTGAAAGATAGCCTTTTAAGTAACTAACCATTGCCCCCTGCTGTTGAGCCTGCTGTACTGCAGCGTCCACCAGGAGTCTCTCTGCCTCGCTGTGCAGGGTGACGCATTTCATCCCGGCCAGACGGAGCTTTAGACGGGCAACCACACTGTCTGACACACTCTCCTGCACACACAGCACCCAGTGGATCTAAAAAGGCAGAGAAGCAGAGCAGATGGTTTAACAACATGGTGGACGTGTTGGTAACATCCGCTGCACTTTTCGCATCACCTCTTTCTTTTTCTTAAAAGCAGTCTCTATAACTTCCTCCACAGCGCTGTCAATGTCGGCTGACTCGAAGATTATAAAGGGACACGTGGACCCTATAGATGGAGAGAGGGACACGGGAACCCCCATCCCTGCTGAGGCTGTACACAGCATCACCCCATCCTGGGTGAGAACAAAAAAAACAGAAAAAAAAATCAACATCCTCTGCTAAGTGGACTTCTCAGCTCCCTGGTTGGAGCGGTAGCACACACCTGTTTGTCACCGCTGTAAGTCATGTAGCCGATGTTGGGGTTCTGGGCCACTTTGGCTCCCAGCATTACATCACTTCCTGTCAAAACATTTAGTGCTCCAACAGGAAGTCCAGCCCCCATAAAAAGCTGCGCTAAGAGGAGAGCCGGGGGGCCTGAGCTCTGACCAGGGATCACGATCACAGAGTTGCCTGACAAAAGAAAAAGAAAAAAATTGACAAATGTTGAGCCATAACCAAGTAAAAGTGTTGGTAAATTTACTATTACTAACTTTTTGTCAAATTGTGAAATGTAACAGTGAATGCTTTAATGTGGTTCTTCAGTAAGCAACTTGATATTTCATCCAGAAAAAAATTTTGAAATTGCTGATGCATCTTTACCTGCTTTATCGCACCACATATCTTTGGTTATGGCAGAACTCTACTTCATTACATGCACAGATAAGTGTGAAATGCCGATCGTCATCACACTTCTTTAGGTCCTTTTATGCATGAAAGTCAAACTATAGATGAAAAATGTTCAAATGCAGTAACACTGAGCTGTCCTAAAGAGATTCTACTGCCTCTAATTCTCTCTGTTGAAGTATTCATTTTTAAAAATAATCTCTTGTGGTATTTTATTTATTGTTACCCGTTTCTTTTTTTCTGATTATTAAAAGGGAACTATGGAGAACTTAGGCAGTTAGAACCCTTGCTGGAGTCTACACACAAATAAATTATTCCCCAAACCATGTTAAGTGCTTGAGCACCAGTTTCCGCTTTATGTTTGTAAATATGAAGTCCAATTGAGGTCTTGTTTCTTCATGTCATGCAGGGATTAACCATCAGGGCTCATAGAAGAGACTTTGCTTATTACTAAGTAAGTAAACTTGAAATATAGCATCTTTTACAGTGCTTTATGATCAAATGCCCCAAAAATATTTTAAGAAAATACCAAATTATTAAATGTCAACTATAAAATCATAAAAGACCAATTTAAAAAGAGGTGAAAGCCAAAACAAATTAAATATTTGTTGTTGTATTCTCATCTTAAAAATGCCTGATTTCGACTAAACCAAAGTAAAGCTCTTGAATTGGTTCATATGAAGGGTTACTGAAAGAACAAAGGTTTACTCAGGTACCCATGGGGAGAATACCTAGGTGGTTTCTTGTACATAGAAACATAGAATCTAAAATAATAAAGAAATGTAGCGACTAACTCCTCGACTACCTCCGGTGCAGTGGTAACAGGATAAACATGGACCACAAAAGAACTGCTATAGTCCTGTGTAAGGTATTCTCTTAGTGTTATGCAATGCTCACCCATGGCCAGTGCTGGTAGGACTTTGAGCATAAGGGAATAGAGGGAGCAGTTATCAGAGGTGACTACAGCCACCACACCTGGAGGAAAAGAGAAAAAAATATGAGGGAATAATACCTTAAAATACCTCACTGACTGAATGGAAGTGAACAAACACTTACCAATGGGAGTCCAGTCAGAGATGAAAGTGTCTCTGAGCTGGGCCCAGCAGCTGTAGTACTGCAGCAGTCTGACCAGTGAGGAGGGCGAGCAGGGGTTCTCACACAGCCCACACAGCTCCGTAAGGCACTGGCCGTGCAGCCCGAGGGCGCTCACCAGCCTGTTAGTGGAGGAAAGGAAGCAAAAACAGGGATGGATGAAGCTCCTGAATCACCAGTCGTTCCAGTGCTGGTTCAGTGTCAAAGCAGGTTGTAAGTTAGTTCTGGTTTAAATTTTGCACATTTGACTCTCCCTCTCTTTGTTTTCTGAATTTTTGTGTATGAACACAGAAAATGGAGACAGTTTATTGACGCAAAACAACAGGAAACAGTTGACCGGGACGCTTATATTCATTCTCCCATGCTTAGAACATTTGTGTTGAAGCTTAGTTTTGTTATGTTTTCTTTTTCACAGTAGTCACCCAAATGAAGCAAACTAAACACAATACAGGTAATACATTTTTAAAAATGACAACTATGACATTTTGGGAGCTTTGGTATCTTCATATACTGATGTATGCCTCTATTTTCTCTGAAGGATAATTATGAAATAAATTAAAAGATAGTTAGAATATAGTTTCTTCCTCTCAATCATGATTGGAATGGCTTTGATG